TGATTTCAATCTGTAGATAAATTCTATCCGAGATAATTTAGTTAAACACATAAACATAGGTACAAGGAGGCACCAAATAGATATGCGCCACGTAAATTATTCGATTTATCTAAGGGCTGGGAGATTGCCCGGACGCCTAAACCAAAACAAGTGCTTTCCTTAGAGGATCACACCACGAGCCTTCAACCTAGAGGTTTAATCCACAAGACAGTGGAGCAACGTAAGGAGATGCAGTCACATGTTAGTCGGTGATCAACAATTGGTTCATACGCCATTTGTTCCTTTAGGATACTGGAGCTCATGTGCACCATTGGTTTGTTATGAGGGTTTTCGAACTCCCCTATGTGAACTCTCCATGTCCACCAACTCGACTAAAGCACCGGATATTCGCTTTTCATCTTCTCAATTACATAAACAATAGTAATGCCACGAGAAGAGAGTGAGTACGACTTCCCTGTCAGTGGTTGTATGCACGTGTCCATGTGGGAGCATTTGGAGAGACAGAGAGAGCTGACTCTCCCCCACCTTCGACCATACCATGGTATTCCAAATAAATCATATCCTTACTGATTGAATAAACAATAAGCAGTCTTGTGTTATGCAAATTTCTTAGATAGACCGACAGTCTTAGCTTAAAAATCATTTACTTATAATATCGTTTCGTCAACATTTCGGAAATTCTGTGCACAACTCTCGTGGAAACTTATAAAATCGTTCATTTAAGTACTTATTTCCCTATACAAGATTTAAACATATTTTTTTATTGAGATAATGATTTGATCTAAGCTACACCACCAATGAAGATCTAGAAGCATTGGACGGCCGTTTCGTCCTATGATATATGGGACTGTACTGTCGGTTATTATGTTAAGCCCATAGACCTTATCCTAGCTTCCGGACAGCCCATTCTATTCATTCTACTTGCGTCACATTCTGACCTCGTTATTTATTTGCTTGTCAATCTTGACTGTTTTTATAGGTGTGTGTACATTTCTTATCACATTACTCATCACATGTCTGTAACTTATTTTTGTGTAACTATAACTAATGATTAACGCTTGGTTAAATGGGAGTTGGCTTACCAGCCAACTCCACTCAGCGTCGTTTCTCCTCTCTCCATTCCATTCGCTTTATATACAAAATATATGTATTCACAAGTCCTTTCTCGTTATTCGACTTATTTAATTCCGTTACTGACTAACGGAATTTAAGTCGATGATTATATACGAGAATAGGTGATATATATATTTCAATAACAATCATTCATACGATCTAATTGGAGTCAGATCTCGGGAAACTAAGGTGGAGAGCCCCTATCGACAACATCGTTCGATGAAAAATTAACGGGCCCCACGGGACTCCTCAACAGTGCGTATCCATGATCAAGCATGCGGGATTCGAACCCAGGACATTCGGTTTCACGCGCGAATGTCTAACTTCTAGACCATTCGGCGGGTATCCTATGGTGTTAATGTGTAACCTCAATTCATCCACGGAATCGCGCGACTGTCTACGATTGTGTCTCTATCTGGCACAGATTAGCTCATATAAATGAATGTTTGTAGTGAAAGCAACTTGTTTTAAGATTGTAGTGACCTACTTTTACCAATAGAACGCAATTGATTTACTGTGCTCGTTTGTTTAACTGTACTAAAGACAGCTATATTACTGTTCCTTTATTCTTCCATTGATTGTGACCTTGTATAGATTCGTTTACGCTCAGTAACCACACTTGTAACTTAGCACGACCTCGGTATTTTTTCGATACCACGAGATCGCCAACAAATACCTCTCGACTACAGCCATCAACTGCCTTCTGATATTTGGCTTATGGGGGATTTTATCAGTTAACTGGCACGTAGTCTTCTTGTAGTGGTGTTCACAGTCAAATGCTACTCGACACCATGCTACAAGATAATAAAAGTCAATTATTAATCATGAAAACTTCATAAGCTAATATAGTAATCAACGTCTATAATTGATGTGCATTACTTGTTTTTAGAGACCGATATATATTTGTTGGTTTAAAACGGTCAAGGTCAGCTCAAGAACTGCTCACTTTAGTATAAAATCAATCAATCAATCTCCACTACAATTCAACCTTAACGAAAGTTTATATAAATTAGTTAATGATGATTAATGATGAGTATAAATTTCTTCGTTTTAAATCTATTAGAACTGACCTATTCTTTAGTTAGATCCAGTTTAATTACAAATAATAAATAAGAGTAAATTAATATGTATTTCTCTCATAGAAGAAGCTGAATTAAATTCTAAGATAATACTAAATCTTTAAACAAATTCTTAATATGACTGAAGGGATTTTATATGATAATCTCAACGAATTTATACTGATAATATGGTGTGTACTACAGATGTCGACAGATATAAGTAGTATATATCATCAATTGAAAGTGAAATGCCTAGTGGCGTAAGATTAATAAGATAGAAGAGAACGAGAACAGAGAATGATTACTGTTGAAACAAATGAACAATGAAGTCTGAGATAATTGATTAACATTTTGCAAATGAAGTATTTACTGTATGGTTCTCAAATTTGACTAAGATATTCTGTAATTTTATATATTTGGTTGTAATTATAATAGTTGAGATCATGAGTCATTTGAGGCTAGACCACCACGGAGAACCTGGACGGCCGATATCGGTATACTTATACATATGAGGTTGATTACAGATGAATATGTGTATCATGATGTAGAGAAGATTTCAATCGAGTTAATAAGGTCATAAATGTTGTTTGTTTCAGATAAATAAAGTTTGGGAGGGAAAGTTTCAGGACAGTGAACTAGTGGTTAGAACTCAGAGTTAACAAACATTAGATGATTTTGTAATGAAGCAATTGAAAACAGATGGATAATAATAAAGATATGAACTGAAATCAGTCAGTCATGAATTAAAGACAAATGACAATGATGTAATTAGATTTCAGAGAGTTGAAATAATGAATGACGTAATGAGTAATGTTACCAGGGCAAAGAAAAATTTATGACTACCTCTTTTCTGAATACATAGATCTGGTTCTAGACGATTGATCGCTATCATTTGGGAAAATTTAAAAACATTGAAGTTTGATTGTTTGCTAATCAATTTGAAAAACGTTCAGTATATTGACTTCATGTCCTGTGTCAAGGAGATTTCTTGAGATGGCATTGCTGAATGCTTTTAATCCATTTGTCCTTTGAATTGGACATAGGCTCTCCTTTCTGTTCTATCAATGTAACCGCTTTGGCAGATACAAGTAAATTTACATACACAGTTGGTGACAGCATGAAAGAGATACCTATCAACCTTTGATTGTGTTAAAGAACATGTTATTTTGGATAGGACAATCAGTTTAGCTACAGGGTAAGTTCTTATCAATGCAGTTTTTTAGTCTCATATTTGATTGACCCTACGATATAATCACCTTTGAATTTAAGTTGAATAAAATTAGGTTTTTTATTTGCTGTATTTTCTTTGGGTTTTGTATCATCACTTTTTCCATATTTCTCAATAAACACGTACTGCCGATACACTGGGAGAGGAAGTAATGAATGTTAAAATATAACGGATACCCACTGATTATCTTGTTAATCCTGTCTCATATGTAGAATATTATCTCATGGCAAACGACAAATTAGTTAACATTCCTTTTATATCAGAACTCATTATTCTTCATCGCCTAAAGTACGTGTTGTAAACACAGTGTCACTGCCACCAAGTATTTTTACGAAAATTTAGACATTGAAAAACCAATAAGTGAGATTAGCTCAAAAACTATTGACTGTTAGTTAAATTCCCGTAAATAATTACTCCCATTGTAATGTCTGCCATTATTTTCCTTATCTCGTTGACTACCTTATCTATTTTATATTTATCCTTCAGATAACCATGATCTGCAACGATTCTGTATTCCTGTGACGGAAGAAGTCAAGAAAGGTCGGCACATCTCACTTTGATGCATGGAGTCCCATCGCTGGAGATAAGTACAGAGCAAATGCATCGGAAACCAAGTATAAAAAAGATTGGCCCTGAAGAATTGTCCATTGAGCGATGTGTCTATGTTACCAAGATGACAGAACCACCAGCAATCCAATTACCTTTTAAGATGCCTCAAGCAAACGGAAAGTGACAATTATTCTCTCATCACTCACAAGATCATCTCATTACAACTGATTGGTATCCTACTTAGTAACCTTACATTCACTTAACAGAGTATTCAATCTTTACCTAACGATCCAAACGTGTGTTCTCTTACTCTAGGCGAAGAAACGCGTTTCATTGAGGAACAAACACCTACTAACATAACTGAATATTAGCAACAGACATAAACAATAATTTGAATTAGGGATTTATCTACATAGTATGTAAACAAGTGGACTGATACAAGATGGTGCTAAAATCTATGGACAAGCCAATCAAGTTTAGGATGGCAGGTCATTGGATCTGGCATGAAATCCATTCATCCATATGGCTAAATAGCATAATTGATGTCGGTTCGTGATAAAGCCTTTAGTTTAATTGTTAACCCTCGTTTAAACCAAGTAAGTAGGAAGATATTCTCAAGGCCACCAATCATAGTCTCACCACTGTTCAATAAAAAAGCCACCAGACCATGTAGCAGCATAAATGGAGAGCTAGAGTATTGGAAATTTTTTTTATTTCATCGACCAAAACAATCTAAGTAGTGTAAATTTGTAATTTGTCCACTATCAAATAGTTTTTTTCTAATTAGTGAATCCCATAGAATAAAGCTTTGTAGAGAATTAAGAATTTCATGGTTTATATCGGGGATTTGCCTTAATAAAGAAATCCAGAAGTACTGCATCACTGTTTCGTCTCGGTATAAGACAACTTGACAACATGTACTCACAATCCTATCGAGGATCGAAAGTAGGGACCTGAAGGTTCTGAACACTACTGAGGAGTTAGTATACTGGGACGTAACACAATTATCTAATCTGTGATGTAAACAACATAATATATATTCAAGATACAAATTCAGTTGTGAAGAGGTATTTTATTATTTGGAAGATACAATAATAAACGAAAAAAAATGAATACAACACACTATTCAAGTGAAATGATATTTTCTCTACAATAAAACAGTATGGTTAAATTTTATCTGCCATAAAAGCATAATAATAATGATAAAGCTATAAAATAAACAATTGTATGTGTGTGTGTGTGTGACAAACATACTGTTTCCATGATCCGATAATTAGATAAATGTAAGTGAACGTATAAGCGTAAAACGATTAAAAGTTAAATTATTTGAATAATGAGTCGGAAAACGAAATAGCGTCAATGATTGATTATAGGTTTAGTCAATTATGAATGTAACAGTTACCACTAGCTACAATGGTATGAACATATTACAAATGAACAGACAATTATGCACACATACATATGTAGTTGAAATAACCAAAGAATTTTTTTAATAAAACTTAAGTTGATTTACAGAGGAGGAGAGAGCAGGAAAAATGACACCAAGAAAAGATGTTTGTGTTGATGACAACCAGCACGATGGTAACAATAATAATAATAATGCTGACAGAGGTAGATACGTAGAAAAGATGAGTTGGATCGTTTGTGCTACGTTTGACATCATTTTCTTTTAAAGAAGAAAAAAAGCAGACACCACTGATAAGCTCGATCATCAACATACAAGTTTGACTGGTTAGTGCACATAGAAACGTTTTAATTCAACAATTTATCCTGTAATATGCACAAATTTTTAAAAAAAACATCTATAAACACATAGGACAAAACCAGTCAGTCGAGATGAAAAGAAAAAAGCAGTTAAAAATAAAGAGAACAGATATAAACAAGAGCAACACGGGTTTATCATTAGTAGTAGTAGTAAATTCTAGATGATTGGCTATGAAATCTCTTTTTATTCAACCGATTAGAAACATGTGTACGCAGGAGCTCTCACCCTCACAAGATCTAAATAAAAAGCTATACAATAAAACTGATGAAGAAATTAATCAATGAAATAGAACATACATATGAATTCAGAAACTCCTCTTGTATCATCTTCATATGGAAAAGTGTATGAATTAATAGTCGTAAACGAATATAGTCGTTATTGTTGTCATCATCATCATGAAATTTGGAGTAACAGTGAAATTGTTGAAAAGTTAATAATAATTTTATATAGTAAACCATACACTAAAACTTTTGTTCACTTTACACCACAGATTTGATTGTTACTCCAAATTTTATGATGATGATGATGATGACAACAATAACGACTATATTGGCTTACCACTATTAATTCATACACTTTTCCATATGAAGATGATACAAGAGGAGTTTCTGAATTCATATGTATGTTCTGTTTCATTGATTAATTTCTTCACCAGTTTTATTGTATAGCTTTTCGTTTAAATTTTGTGAGGGTGAGAGAGCTCCTGCGTACACATGTTTCTAATCGGTTGAATAAAGAGATTTCATAGCCTATTATCTAATCAAAATAATAATATGAACAGGGAATCGTCACTGAATAAAAAAAACAAACAGAAACGTGGAAAAAATTTAAGACTCACATGAAACGAAATCTACACACCAGCACTGGCATTATCAATAGGAAAATATATAAAAACGTTAATCGAGAAAGAGGAACAACACGAGGTGAAGAAAGTGGATGCATGTGTATATGTGTGAATCCACTTATAATTATATAGAAGAGTATGCGAAGAAAATACACACACAGACAAGAACATCAATGGTACCGTTACTGTGTTGAATAGTTTATAGATCATTAAAACAACGGATGTAATTGTCATTGTTGAACGTCACTAAAGGAAGAGGAAGTAAATAAACATATATACAAAGAACTTGATGTTAAATTGATAAACATTATGACGGTATTGAATAATAATAATAATAGTAATATTAATAATCTGTCAGTTACTATTTCATTAACTATTAGGTCGAATCATGTCGACGTCTATAAAGAGACTATAATTAACAGAACAGTCTCCTTATTCATTCTACTTGTATTTCTAAATGTTTATAGAATATTTGTAACGAAGGATGTTGAAAGTGTCATGATCTTTGAGCTTTTATTATTCGTCAGGACAACATCATCGACACATTTCAAACAATAGACACATCCAACACTTTCAATATTACTCTGAATTTTTATTTTTTAGTACGAGGTTGTGGAGACTATTTTTGATTGAGATCTTGAATCGATCTAAGCTATACCACCTTTGAAAACCTGAAAACACTGGACGGTCGTTTCGTTTTAGGATGGGACTCCTCAGCAGTGCGCGATCCCGTACACGAGATTCGTACTTAGTACCTTGGATCTCGCACGCGAACACCTAACCTCTAGATCAATGAGCTGGCGTCCATTGATGTTAATGTGTAAATTCAACCAGTCCACAAAACCGAACTACCATTTTCCTTGTCTTCGGCGGGTAACTGCTTCACGTCAGACAAGAATTAGCTCCACTAGTCAGAGGTTAAACTCAGTAGAATTCATCATCTTTGCTGTTATGCTAACTGATGTAAAGTGTAATGATTTTTAGTAATTATTAAAGATATTGACCAGTGAGAATAAGTTTGCTGAGTACTTTACTTCTATGGTGGCATAGACTATTTTATCTAGTTGATGAATACATAAAACCAGACCATATCATAATCTACAGTCATTAGAAATTGTAAATTAATATATGGCTCAAAGTAGATTACATCACAGAAGTAGTCAGTCATTAATTCATCGGTTTTAATTGGTTCCAATTGAATGATAAATTATTTCCTCATTTTAAGATTTTCACTGAAGACTTCACTGTAAATTTATGGACATGAACATATTTTTTTCTGAAGTTCAATTTTTTGTAATTAATGAATTGGATGGGGGGGGGGCGATACGAGAACTACGGTCAAAAAATATCTTAGTGTCAGAAGATTATGACATTTTATCAACCACTTGACTGACTGAATTTAGGCTTATAATAAGCAAGATTTAATTATGATGATAATTACTATACATTGATATTTGTTTTTTTCTCCTTCATTTATCGAAACTCGTATAGTAGCTGAGTAGAATATTATCTAAGAAAACTATATCAGTTGAATGATAATTCTCAAACGGTAGCGTGATTTAAAGTTTGAAAAGTCGATAATTTATCAAAGAAGTTTTCAAAAGCCGGAAACATATTGAAAATACTTTGATTAATCAGGGTTTTTTTTTAGCAGCTATCAAGAGACTTCTCCAATCAATCGACAATTGCCATTTTATAATATTTCCCAGAAGCATTGAGATACACTATAAATACTCTTGATTATTTATACATCTACCAAACGCAGAAGTAAAGCTCATACTGAATTTACTTTCTGTTTTTTTAAAAAAAAATTAAAAAGGTACGAATTAACGATTACTGAAAATCAAGAAGTTAAGTGTCCAAGAGTTATCGCAAATCATGAAACAATTGCTTCTTGCTGCAAACATTCAATATGAATTACAAGTCACTATGATGATATACATTACTCAGTTTGGGTAATCACAACTTATCGATTGATTGATAAAATCTGTTTGTTCTTAACAATCAGATCAATGACCAAATATTTATCTATAGAAATGTACGAGATAAGCGTATAAGTGTTTTTATATACAGTTAACCCTTGAGTTTCTCTCTCTCTCTCTCTCTCTCTCGTGAATGGTCAGCATAGATTATAATTTAAATATCATACGCATAGATTTTAAATTTATGTAATAATAATAGTAATAAACTGATACATATACACTATAATTTTATTTACCCGACAATTTTATATTGACGATAGTTGAATACATGAAAGATGTATTGAAGGTGCGAGAAGAACAAACTGAAGATTCTTTTCTTTATATGGAAAGAAAAATTCAACTGAATAGTTTCTTTTTGTATGTATAAGAGAAAATATGCAAGTATGAATACATAAAAATGTCACCGGAATGAAGATGTAAGCAGATATAATTAGTGTACACTATGTTCATATGTAATTCTGAAGTGTAATAGGTAGGTAATGAATGCAAACATGGAGAATTAAACAATGATGAATAACTGTTGATAATTATTAACCCATGATTAATGCTGTTGCTGACGTCATCATCATCATCATAATTATCTTTTTCTTCTTCATATCACTTATAAACGTCTACTGAAAAAACGATAAGCAGCAACTAGGCCGACAGCTCCAACAGCTATTGTTGCTACACTAGTCAAAGCATTTCGAAGTGAACGTAACGTATCATCATCTGTGAAATTACCAGTGACTAAACTAATCAAACTATTATTTCCCATTGTTGTCGAGGTTATTGTTGATTGGTCAGTTTCATCGCGTTGTGATTCAAAATTTATAAGTCCCTCCTGTGAATTATAAAAGAAAAAAAAGAAGTGGTAAACAGAATGTGATACAAATTCTATCCATTAATCGAAGGGATTTTATGCTCCTTAGTTTAATTTATGGGTTGTATGTGTTATATACTGATATTAGTTGGGGTACATTTACAATGCAAACTATGCATACAGACAAGTTGTATAATAATATTGACTTTTGTAGGGACAATAAAGAGTGGTCTTATAGAAAGATCAATCTTCTTGTTCTTAATACACATGTGGATCGAGAAAGAACATGAATACCATCCTGTATAATGTAAGACCTCATTAATAATTTTATAACTTTATAAAATAGAGAGCATATCATGAAGATATTTAAAGAACATCATAATACACCCAATGCTTTATTATTACCGAGAATCAATTTTGTTCAGATATACTTTACTATGAAACCAGAAGGCAAAATTACAAATGAAATAGGTAGGTCATCTGATACTATTAACCAGTATTAATAAGGGTTTCTAGTATCCGATCTGTTGACATATGTATGCATCCTGGATTTTACACTTAGCCACATATTACATAAACAATAACGTTATATCAAGGCAATCTGCACAGAATGTACTAAGATTGATCATAATTCAGTCATGAATATCAGTAGCAACATAATTCAAACCTTTTATAATATATAATATAGCACTTAGTGGCTAACTGAACTCAGTGGATAATGTTATTGAGCGTTTGATGTGAAAGGTACCAGCTTCGAGTTCCAGTGTGAATAACGACACTAGGATGTGACAGGTACATCTAGCTAAAGTCAAATTCTAAATCGAACGAAATGCGAGTCATGGATTCCATTGCTATACAAGTACGTATTATTACCCAGTGTTGAATAAAGTGGAGAGGACAGTAACTAGGTTAGAGTCTTCAACAGTAGCATGGTGTTTCGTATTCTCCTATTTTCAGTTCATTGACTTTATAATGATTCAAGAGAAAGCAAGCCAACAAATAACGGTTACTTTGTTTTTATTTATCACAGTATATCTAAACACGTGACAACTTTTTGTTACTTCTAAACGTATAACACCTTTGCCACACTCTCTGTTATTCAGTTTTGTTTTGTTTACTCGTTGACTGTTTTCGTTTAATCACCCAAACAACTTACATTATACCATCTTTCGGTAATGGTATACGGCACAAATAATGAAATTGGAAAGTCTCATGAATTATACTTCTACATGTACATACATACAAATATGTATTTCAACTATTTAGTCATATTACCTAATTTTATGGACAAGACATGAAACACAATGATCTTTCACACCATATATGACGTAATGAATTTAGTATTTTTGAGGAAATAGATACATCAGCACACATACACACACATCACATCTATACACATATACAAAGAATATACTGGGATCATATGTCAATTCGATAAAAAATGGGTAAACAAAACAAAATGAAGGACAACTCGATTTAACAACGATAACAATGCTGACAAAGAATTATGAACAATTATCAAGTAACAACAACAACATTTCATATTTTGTGTAACCTTCCCCCCTTTTAGATTTATTTTTTCTCTCGTTCCAATTAATTGCTCGTGAATTTTTGTAGAAATGTGGAAGGGAATTTTGGAGGTGAATAAATAAACTGAAGAGAGAGTGGGTGAAAGTAACGAAATTTCAAAGAAATATGTAATTGAATTTTGGCAAACATATTACAGATAGTGAGAAAATTGACTGTGTAGACCAAGGAGAGATGTTCATATTTTCATCTCATCTAATTAGTTGATACTTGAGTGCTTTCCCCAATAAGAGGCTATAAAGTTCACTAAGAATGAGACAGTAAATTATGAATAGCCTAAGATGACTATCACTTTACATCATAAACTAACTGAAGTTACAAATACACTGAACTAATAGAGAGACAACAACATTAAAAGAAAAGAGAACCATTTGCTCACCCAATTTCCATGAGATGATATCCAACTCCAAAGTCCTCGGGGACCATGTATGAACTCAGTTGTCCACAAAGTATAATCAGCTGCGCAAGGTCTTGTGAATGACACCAAACGTAAGTCACTAGCATTTGACTGATGAGGATCTACTGTAGTTTCTGAATTTTTATCTTTCAATTTTCTATCGGTAGTTTTATCACTGCATGAAGAAGATGGATCAGTAGAAGATAACTACAGAAGAACAAGAGCAACAAAAAATGATTTTAGAACAGACTGTGATAATTTGTTGATTATAAAGTGCTTAAACAGATGAATATTTATGTAAACATATTTACAATGCTAAAAAGGAGTATCAAAAAATATATGCCTCACACAGATTTTGTGTGAGGGAAGGGGTACTCTGCTTGAGTGCCCAGATTAGAGACAGGTGGTTTTCCTAAAGGATCGTTTCCCGAGCCCCTAACTCAGAAGCATAAGTCACAGGGCAGTGGAGCAACATTAAGGGATGCCGTTCCATAACAGTGACTAAGATTGGGTTAATACGCCATTTGTCCCCTCAGGATCCTGAACCATTGGTTCGGGATCAGGGTTTTTCACCCCCCCCCTAGGTAAGTGATCTGTATTCACCGACCCGGTTCAAGGGGCGGTAATTCGCTTTTTTTCTTAATTACGTAAGCAACACTCCCTCCACGAGAAGGCAGTGAGTAGGACCTTCCTGGGAGTGGCTACATATGAACGGCCATTTGAGAGCGATTCGAGAGAGAAATTGGTCTCTATCCATCTTCGGTCGTACCAGGGAATTCTGGAAGTTAAAAGCCGACTCCCAAACCAGGAAATTGATGAATATATAAGTGCTAATCTTTTTTATACATTTAAGACATAATTTGACACAGAAGTGGATTAATGAAATTAAACATATATGGATAAGCTTTACTATTTCCATAACCTAAAGAATAAAAGTTAATGTGAATATAAGACGGTAATTTATTGTTTATGAGGCGGATAAAAATGCATTACTAATACTGCTGTTCCGTCAAATAAAAAGACTTGGAAAAATTTAGGATACAGCAATTTTCCTTCATCATCTGCCCCATTCAGCTTAAAAATGCTTTCAATACATTTGTCTTAACGTCATCGTTCCCAGTGTTCAATACATACATTTTTTTAAAACGTGAATATTTCGCCAAACGAATTCGTTGGCACAAGGGATTTTCCTCATTTCAGTTGACCTTTAGTCATTCGGGCTATGAATCAGTTATTGGGAGCACAATTAACTACACATGTTCAATATTTTCATCAGTAAAGAAAGTTGAAAGTCGTCTTAATTCACTTAAAACTTTAGCAATTTGGTTAGAGTATTAATTGAACAGATTTTATTTTGAACAAGAAGAGTTTGAAGGTTAATTAATGAAGGAGAGCTACAGATCGCGTACAACATACGAGTGAAAAAATATGTACTTAATTAGAAGACTAATCGTTAGGATTGTAGAAGTAGTTCTGGTAGAGTAAACAAATCTATTCCTCATTACTATCAACATAATGCTGTAGTCGAAGTAAGATGACCATTCGATGAATAAAAGTGACGATAAAATTTTGTGAAATCAAAATCAAAACTTACTTGCTTATTACAATCAGATGTAACAGCATCATTATGCTCAACTTGTTCACAAGAAATAATGGGCAAATCAGTTGACTTAGAAACATCATGATACTGTTGCACTGACTGATGTGAAACTGAATAATTCATACGTTTATTGTTATCTTCAATAACTTCACATAATGTTCGCAAAAATGCCAACATTGCAATTATACGACCCCAGTTGATACGTTCAAGAAATAATTCTTCTAGAACACTATGAAATTGACATCGTGCCATTTCTAATCGAGTTTGAAGTGAATCATCGCTCACATGACTAGAAGCACCACTGGCGTCACCATCACCAATCCTACTATCACTCTTCACACTTATGTTAGTATCATGCACATTAGTGACATTATCATCAACACTAATCATTGTTGTTTTGTTTGTCTCTTCTGTACAACTTTGATCATCTATGTTATAATTAATATTATCACTATTGGAATTACTATTTAAACGCGCTACATCTTCTAATAAACTGCCCAATTTATCACGATATCTAGACTCAAAATGATCAGCGAGATTTCTGGCGCATAGAATTAATCGTGCAGATATAAATGTTGACGGAATTGACTGATGAGATTGATGATGGTATACAAGAGAAGTGGACGGTAGTATGGTGGTATTGGTAGTAGCAGATGGTTCATTACTTGTAGGCTGAATTTCATTTTGAGGCTGAAACAAACAGAATTTGACAGGAGGGTATAAAATTCTTATTTAAGAAGATAGTAAAAATCATGTACTTTTATAAATTAGAAACGGTTTAATGGTAACTATTGACGCCTGAGATTTCTGACGGAGAAAATCCTGAATCCTAAAAACAAGACTATCTTTCGGTTTCAAAAAAAATAACGACACTTCCCAGAGTTAGTGAAAGTTGAAAGATATATAAGATTCTTGGATATACTACAGTAACCTGAGATTTGACTTGACCATCAAATGTTACACAATTACACCAACACATCCAATTTTCTTCAACAAAACTATGCAGATCACGTGGTCTATTAGATCGCTAAAGTTTGAAAAGGTAATGGTGGCCTTCAATACGAAATATAGGCAAAATACACATTAATTGACGTGATTTCCTAAAAGAACTATTGTATGATGCTTAGAGAACCCTACAAACAAAATATGCTATTGGGAGCGTTTAATTTCATGAAAAACCTGTGAAAATGAGTTGCGTATACAACAATTAGTACGATCCAAATAATTTAGTGTTTACATTCCTGACTATGGTGATGAATGATATGAATTAGACTTTCTAGAGGTGGAAGCAAACGTCCTCTTAAAATTAAAGAGATAACTTGATGAACACTGCCAAATTAGCACGAAAGTTAAACACTAAGAATAATGTCAATTGCCTTTAGTCATATAACCTTAGTGTTTCCAAAAAAGCACATTCAGTTGGAATTGCAAGAAAATGTGCAGTGGGATTAACAAATACAGATAGGACGAAAAATGTATTTAAATATTCTGTTAACATACAGACAAAAATTTACCTGAGATGAACTATTCGGTTTGAAACGTTTCACTGCGCATACTTCCTGATCAGATGATGATGACCGAGTAAAATCTGTATTATCTGTACGACTAATTGTTGGTGTAAGAGTAGTAGTAGCAGTATTAGGGATATTGTGGGTTGTAGAAGAATATGACTGGGAAATACCAGAAGATAAATCCAACTTAGCAGTATTTTTTTGCCAATATTCTAAAAGTGTACGCCAGTCCGGGGATAGACGTGAATCAAGTAAATGTGAAAGGAAATTTATTGTTCTCAAAGTAACTGGATTTTGAAATAATACATTATAATTGTAGATACTATCATGATGATTATTATTATCATCATTAAATTGTCGTAAAGAGGAAGAGAGAGAAGGAGAAGAGGTTGAAGAGGAGGTATTTTGTTGATTATGATCAGTTGATTGATTGAAAATATTTGAATGATTTGGCTTAGGTGAATTTTCAGTAGGCTGGCTTATTGGAACATCGACATCATCATTATTAGTATTATCAGTGGACATATTCATAGTTGCAGGAGTACTAGTAGTAGTGGTCGAATGTTGAACAGGAAAATCAACACCACCAACGTCAGAATAGCCAATGATTGACGCTAATGGATTTGACTGGAAACAATTTGAATCCGGTGGTAGAGGACTTTCAGGCGTAATAGCTGTAGCCGCAGAAGAGAACGGGGAGAAGGAAATATCTGATGTTGTACTGCCACCTTCCCCACTGGCTGATCGTATAGACGGTAGACAATCGCCGATAATAGCACTATTAATATGTGATGTAATACAACACTCTGGTGGAGTTGAAGTCGGTTCACTAATTGATACAGACCGGGTGAATGATTTGCCTTGGACAATATTATATGGATTTAAGTCTAAACCAAGATTATCCCTGAAGAAAAAGGAAAAACACACAAAATAACTAGGTTTTTTTTCTAGCATATTAAGTGAATTGGCGAATTCGCAAGAATACGGGAGGAAGGGGTGTTTTTGAGATGCAGAAACGCAGAATTTTTTCTACATTCAAGCTATATCTTTGTGAGTGACATTCAATGAAATAACTTAGATATATTTTTTTTGATAAGATAATACGACGACAAATGGCAATGACATACTTATGTATTGTGTGATTATGTTAAATGTTGCTAGTTATACATACATTTATTAAGTTATACAATGAAAATTACGATTCAAACAGTAAAATTGTTACACTATAGAGTAACAAATAAATTCTTCCATTTCAAATGATAATTCACATTGTTTATTGTTAGAATGAAAGATCAGATTTTAAAATCAAGTGAATAATTCACTATCTATACTATACAAAGACAATTATACATTAACGCAAGAAATTTCACTGTTCTATAATAAAACAAGTTTTGTTAAGTTATTTACTAAGTCAAAGCTTAATTTCTTAACTTTGAGTTATAATGTTTATTTAAAAGACAATCATACTATCTGGTAACTAAAAGTGAAGTAAATGTTACCGAGTTTAAAATTGAAGTATTTTCTTGTATTAGGCTATAATTTTCACAAAATTATAGGGACTATAGACAGGGGATGTGACCATTAAACCGTAATTTATATATATCTACTTATCAATATGAACGGAAGAAAATGAAGATCCTTTTTTTAAAAACTTGATTACAAACTTGAATACGTTTAAGTAATTGCATTCATCAAACACTTACAATGATTATATAAGAAATTGTAATTAATAAAACTGGTAGAATTGCTCAACTCAATACTGCTTTTATACATACATATAATTGAAAAACCATGAAACAGTCAGTCAGTCAGTCAGTCAGTAACAACGTAGAACTTCGTACGTACGTACATAAGTTCGAGTTGCCACACCACATTAGCACAGAGATGCAGTGGTCGATTCAAATCCAGTAGTGGTAGAGGTAATAAGAGTATAAGCAGTAATCGGAAAGATTAGTGTTTGGAGATGTTACTTAAAGAGTATAATACAGTGAAATAAACTTGGGAAGAGAAAAAAAGACAAGCGGGAATCAGGAGATCAAAATTTGGGAGAACACAATGAAACAGACAATAAGTACACATAGACCATAGATAAATAAAGTAATCAGAGGTCATTATCTTTGTTCACTAATTGTTCATTTCTTTTTTCTTTCTTTTTTTTTAAATGAATTTATTCGACTAACAATTTTGAAAGGAGGGTCAATATAAGTGGACTTTTATAAGAACAGGTGTTTTGTTTATCCAGTAACAATAGACTATTTTATACAATGACGTCAGACAATATATATGCATATATACACACTTATATCCATGAGTTTGATAACGAGGTCATTAGAGCTGACAACCAGACAGATAAGGTCAGACAGAAATACATCAATGTAATGTAATGTGGATAAGAACGGAAGCAAAATTTAATGAGTATAGACAAATAAAAGAAAGACAGAAAGGTTAGGAGATGAAATCTTATAGTTTAGCATAAAATTCTAGTTACTTCAAGGTTGTTACATTCAAGGTTTTTTTTTTGTAAAGATGAATTTGAAGCATCAAGACAAATGTTCATTGTATATTGTATTATGTAATTGGTAGATCGTAAACTATAAAGAGACATGCAAAGAATGAAACTCAAAATTATCGTTTATTTGTAACATAATTAATGGATGCGCACTGCTGAGGAGTCTCATACTAGGACGAAGCAGCTGTTTAGTACTTCCAGGTTTTCCATGGTGATCTAGCTTCAAATGACTCATGATTTCAGCTATTGAAATTACTAAAATCTTCACAAAACCCCTTCTGATTAAAATTAATCTCTTTACAATTATTAAAATCTTAACAATCTAACAAAAGAAGAAAATAAAATGATATCGTATATCGACTCAAGTTGTGAATACGAGCCACTGTATGTCAAATTATTGGTTGGGAAGTAACACATAAGGTGCGAAGCATATAATATACACAAATGATAATCAATTAATGAAATCAGAATTAAATTGATAGTTGAATATGCAGAAAATCAATTAGTTTGGAACGTACATTAACGAAGAGGACTATCGTTCATGTTTGTACTCAATAATAATAAATAGTAACAATAATAATTCAATTAGTTCATAACAATAAAGAGAACTCAGTGAGGAAAATTTTTTTTTCTAATAAATCATTTATCTATCATATTTCTCATCCGTAATATATTCTCACCCCCCCATTCCCCTCTAACCGCTTAATTATTGATTGCACAACCTTCTTTTGGTCCTTCAGATCACTTTATGGTGTAATCCTTTCTATCATTCTATAGATTTGTATATTTTAATAATCAAATCCATGGGTCCATCTAAGCTAGACCACCAATGAAAATTCGGAAGCATTCGTCGGTTGTTTCGTCCTAGTACGGAGCTCCCCAGTAGTTCCGCCCGTGAGACTCGAACCCAGGACAGTCCTTTACGCGCACGAACGCTTAACCACTATACCACTGAGCCGGCATCCAATAGTGCTAATGTCTAGCTTTAACCAATCCACGATATTGCGCCACCGTCCATCATCATGTTCAGTGAGTTACTGCCTCACAACAGACACTGTTGAACTCCATTGATCACGGCTTCTCACTAAAACTCCAGGAAATACCTCTTAATCCAGTCACTAGTGAGCACATGATTATTATCAGAATGGAGGTTTGCATATATTTACTGAATAACTATTAATACAAATGTACAGCTTAAGTAAATGATTTCGTCGAAAATTTTCTTCGCTGAATTCTATTTATTTTTATTGAATTATAGTTATCTATCTTTTTTTTCTAAAACACCAGTCAATAATGGAATTATTAAGTAGTAGGAATAATAACAGATAAAAAACGAAATATTCTTAAACAAGAGTAGATAGCATACTAGTGTGCATCCGACTTTTCAACCCCCTCCCACTTCGATACTGTTCTACCTTGAAATTGGACAGCCAAAATCAGTAACAAATTACAACTATACATGTTTATTTTTTACAGAAAAATTAACGCCAAATACGTGAATTTGTATTTGGTTATGAAGTTATATTGTTTTAATACAAACCAATAAAGTGGATGAAAGATTATTATTACTACTTCATGCTTAACATTAAGTAAAAATTAGCTTATGACCATATGAGTTGGTCAGTTAGTCAGACAATGTCAATAACTCACATACAAATGACCGAAGATGAACACTATAATTCCATTATCAACGCAAAATACTGCTAGGAAGGAAATATATATCGACTCAAGCTATTCACATTTGAAACCATTATGGAGAGACAAAATTCACAGGATTAGTATCGGGAAATGAAAAGTATGGGGCAATATTTAAACCGATTTTCAACCATCCCATCCAAGATTTCCAGTCACAGACTATGATTATCTGATGCACAGCAAACAGGCAGTCTAGATTTACAGGGGCAAGGCTTAATCCAGTAATCAATGACCTTATAGAACGATGGTGTCATTAACATTTTTCTAATTGACACATATGCTAGCCACCACTGTACGTAATTATTGTAGCTTATATGCCAAACATAGGCTCATGCATTGGCCTTCAAACTACACTACAGTACTACCCGGTTAACGAGACCAAAACAAACAGAGTGAGGTGGGGAGTCACAGTCTAGTGGTCGGTAAAAATGTGCCTCAACCACTAAGTTATTGTTGTACATCCAGGTATGTGATGGCTTGGAACGAGTAGCGCATGTCCCAGACATCTCAGACGATGGAAATTTGTGATCTCACCGACTCATTTATCATCTTTTAGTAGTATCATACGTCTAACCTCTGTGTTACCTAATTGATAGTCCCCGTTAAGTGTGCAATGCTTCTAAGACATCTATAACTGAGTACCAGAAACACATGCGTATTCATTAACAATTATAGACCATGTTTCGCAGTTGCCTTTGTAAGACCAGGTTTAAAACCGTAAAACCTACTGATAAGAGGGATGTAATTCCATTAACTGTATCTTTGAAGCACTGCTCGTGTACTATGGGATTAAGCAATTCATGAGTTAGAAAAGGGTACTAGGTACGGATGACGAATTGATTGATGAGGTAGTAAATCTCCATCAAACGAGGTGATTGGGACAACTGTTATGTATGTTCATCCACCGTATACTTCAACGCGCGATTTTGCCTCGTGTAGGAGTAGGTTGGAAGAAAGATCAGGTTAGTCAAACAAAAACATGGCATCAGTTCATGAAGTCATTAACAGTTGGATTGAGCCATGTTGATAGGTGTGGACTACCTAGTTAGGGGTTGCGTGATTATCATAACAAGTAGTTAGACTTTGAATGAAATGGTTTAAAGTCGTTTGGAATGATGTATGTGCATTCATTATTGTCTTTCGCCAAATTCGAAGCTTCTGAATTCTATACAATTTTCTTTATTTGCCCCCAGATGCCCTAATACAGCTGAGGGTGGGGAGAGTTATCTCTCTCTCCAAATGCTCTCTCATGGCCACGTGTATACAGCCACTATCAGGGAAGTCCTACTCACTGCCTTTTCGCACCACGTATGTTGTTTATGAAATTGAGAGAACGAAAAGAGAACGTCCAGTGCTTTAACCGGGTTGGTGGACACGGAAAGTTGGAAAACCCTCTCCAAACCAATGGTGCACATGGACTTCAGGATCCAGAAGAAACAAATAGCGTATGAACCAATCGTTGGTCACCGGTTACCATGGGACTGCATCTCATGACGTTGCTCTACTACCTTGTGGATAAGAATTTTAGGTAGAAGGCTCCGGGTATGGTCTCCTAGGAAAAACACCTGCTTTGGTCTGGGCACCCGGACAGTATCACACACAAATCAAGTGGCTTGTTCGGCACATGTGTATTCGGTGCCCCGTTGTATCAATATGTGTTCAAATAAGTAAATTCACATTTACTTAAATAGTATTTTCGATGCCTAATATTTTGTATTACCACTAATATTGTTACTGTTTATACTATTCTGGTATTTGCCCTAAAGATTTCATCTCTGTGCTAACGGGCCCTGGTAACTTGAACCAATGTATAAATGTACCACCAGGTTCAACTATGCAATGGACTCACTGTGTTCCTTAAGTTGTATGAAAGAGACGATATTTTATACAGATCTTTGATCTACGCCACTTTTTGATACAGTTATTGTTGGTTTGTTACGTGGTTTTGCATTTAAAAAGTCTAGACTTAAATACTGCAACTAGCTACTGATGACGCAAGTCCGTACAAAGCTGTCGCTCTTATTTCTGTACCTGTCTGAACCTTTACCATATCAGGTAAGGTAGAAATAAACTGGTTGTATTGCATATATCGATTTCGACTAAGTTCAAAACTAAATGTCAACTCATTGGAAAGTGTATCCAAGATTATTTGGAAATAGTAACCATACGTAGTTGTTTCTCTAAAGCATTTTGATAATGAATACCGAGCTTCTGTAGATTGACCGGATATTCTTGCTATCAACTGGATTGTCCAAGTGGATGGAGTGCATATTATTGCTTGAATGTGACTCATTCAACAAGTACGTTATAAACCTACAGTAGAGAGAAGTAACTTAGCAAGGTTAAAAAAGGGATGTATTTCATCGCATTACTGGAGATGAAACACTGGAAGGAACGGGAAAGTTCGTATATCTAGATAGTTTGTCAATGAGAATGTAGATGAGATCAACTTTTGTACAACAAAAACATGAACTACGTATATCTAGATCGTCTTTAGAATATTAGTAGTCACCTTAGGTACAAAAGGCGGTGTGTACAGTTCCTTTGAATGGGTAGTTTTGCCTTATGCAATTGACTTAATATCTTTAAGATGATGTTTAATCATCGCAGACTTCAATGGATTACTATTCTTACATTTATTCATTGACCCAGGTTGTCATAACTATGAAGTGACTTTACACATAGTAATCTTGAAATTCACAATAGTAGGTCAGTCATAGAAGAAGTCGAATCCAGCATAAACGTGCGTCGACCGAAATTGCCATAATATACCAACATAAAGAGATGAATTTAAGAAAATTCCAGAGTAGTAGATGTGAAAAAAACCAATCTGATTAAAGGAAGAATTCGCGAAGCGATTTAAAAACCTGAAATCTGACGTTAAACGGGTGAATACATTAGGGTGCTTTCAACCAATTCTTAGACATATAACGCATCCCTAACCATTAGTCTCGATAATGGTACAGACCTCAGAAAGACAGTCAATGACTTTATGCAATGATGCCACTTTTTTGTTTAAGCGCCCTTTGGGATTCCTTTAGTCTGCTCCTACACCAACAAATCAAGCATAGAGGAAGATGGTTGCGAATATACGCTGCATATGTCGGCCACCTTAGTTGGAGGAGATTCACTATCTCACCAACTGATTTGCTATCTTTACCTATTACCTTGAACCTAACATCAGCCTTACTCACATGGCAGTACCAACATAAGTGAGCAAGGTTTCGAAGTCATTAACAACCAAATTTTAATAAACCATAAATACTTGATCTGAGTGGATTAGATTTAACTCTGGCAATATAATATATTCACTCATTTTATGTCCTTACAGCATAGAAGTGATATTATTACATGAGGGTTCATATTCGATGTTTACGGAATCCCACTGAGAAGTTACTTTATTAATTTCTGTGGAATAACTTAAACCTCCTATGTGCAGACGCTACTTTAACACTCCAAGTCAAACAATGTAAAGTCAATGAGAACGGAGAATTACATATCAAAAATAATTTCTGATTTATAAAAAACCACTTGAACCAGTGCGTGGTAAATAAACTGTGCTACTATTTTCTAAAACAAGCGAACATGCTGCATACTGAAGGAATAAACAAACAAATATTAGACTTCTCAGAGAAACCCGTATTACTCTCGTCCTGATTAACTAAACCAAAAATAACACAAAGTATCTGACATTTCTGAAACGGCTATTTCAGCACCTAACTTCCTAGCCTCATTACATTTCATAATGAACCCATACCAATACACTGACTTGATCTCTCTATTTTGGGGTTTTCCCCAAAATCTAGAGAAATTCGGTACGTTTCTGTAAAGTTTGGGAAAAAACCCGTGTTATAAACTTCAGGGGGGAATATTGGGGATTTTCCCTATACCTGAGGAAATCTTGGAGTCGTATTGTTGTTTCTTAAAAGTTTTCTATTGCGGTACCCACAAAGTTTACCCAAAGCGGACAAATTTTTTCCCAAAATAGGGAGATTGTAGATGTATCTTGTACAATGAGGGAAGTACGGCATACTACTAAATATACCATGAATTATCTCAAATAAATAAGCAAGTACACTTAAAACTCTTTAAACAGAACTAAATCACTTTAAAGGAATGTAAAAACGGTAAGCATTTTACATTTAGTCTACACTCCTTGCGACTCAATTGTTAATCGTGCGCTACCTATTATCACTGCTATCAGCCGGGTGACCCCCGGGCTGTAATTGATTTAGGGTTATGAAATTGATAAGTAAACAAAATTGAACTAACACAAGGCGAGTTTGTGAATCCCCGACCGGCATTCCTGGGACGCAAATACGCCAACTGGAGAGTGAGGTTGTATTTCCCCCTCCGTCGATATAGATCTCAGTGGTGGTTTTAAACAATGCGCTTACGTATCTCGCATGTGGCGTGATCATATGAGGTGTCAAATGTTCATCTGATAGTCCGGGTACAGTTCCATTCTAATATGCTTTATACACTACTTCTGAACATGGAAGTGGAAAGTCAGTTAATAATCGATTCATTGATGCAAATGTTTATGCATGAGAGGTATTTCCGATAGAAGTTCTGGAAGATTTTGTAGTTGACTGAACTAAACCAACTAAGACAATACTTAATGACCTTTTATTGTCTGTCTTTGTGAGTTATTAGGTGTAATTATATTTTGCCAACTTTTTTAACACCAATTAAACCAGCTGATATACCGTTGGTGAAAATTCTAGAAAACGTTTAGTAGTAGGTTCGAACGTCCAGAAGAAAACGTTTACGAGAAATTTACTAACCAACAATAAAATGTATTACATCGCCTCATCCCCAACTTATGGCAGATAACGGATAGACTAAACGTCTAGTACATATACATCAGTTCATTAATGCCGTTATCATCCATTGGTTATCAGAAACGCCTTCATTAATTCACGGAATATCTCTAGTAGATTCGATGACAAAGTGATCTCCCCTTACAAGGAATGTCAGTTTGCTTTAAATAACACGAACATTAAAAAAAGATATTGGGTAATTACATAATATTGGTTCTCTGTTTTGGTGTATTATATGAATAAATAAACGACGGCTGCAAAAAGCGACTGAATATGTGTCACAAAGCTGTTCTCTGCAACTTCCGTACATTGAGACTTAGTTCGCATTTAAGATAGACTTACTCCATTCCGATAACCCCTTTTAAGATTACATGATGTTATTACAAATAGTTTTCGATGAGGACTGAAGACAGGTATCAAATTGGGCTCCAGGAACTAAGATCTAACTGATCAACAGCCAAAGTTAACAAAAAAAACACAAAGTCACCATGTATAACCTATCAAACTTAAAATTAAAGGCAAAACTGTTGCAACGACACAAAAAGTAATGTTATTCACAATGATGAACTTAAATTTACTTACGCCTGTTATTCCTAGTGGAAGAGCATAAGCCGCTCACCAGCATTCTCCATCCAACACTATCCTGAGCAATCCTTTCCGGTTCTTTCTGTTTTCTATTCAACATCTTTATATCTGCTTCTAATTCCCGACGTAGTGTGTTATTCGGCTTGCCTCTTTTCCGTTTCCATTCAGGATTTCAAGTTAGCCCATACCTTGTGATGCAGTTTGTTGATTTCCGTAATGTATGGCCTATCCACTTCCAACTAAATGAGCTTAAAGCACAAAACGAAAGTGAATATGCACAGACTAGAAATATCTGACCTATAACTATTATCAGTACTAAAAATATTGACTTCAGAGGAAAGGAAGTGAAGATTTCTTGTTGAGGAGATGTTCCTGATCCCAAATCTACAAACATTCAGAATGACTTATAAGTGGAGCACACTGTCGCCTTTGTATCTGCAACAAATTGAAAGTTCCGAAAAGCTGTGAGAAACGATACCATAACCCTTAAATAACCTCCTCTCTTGGCTTTTATGTCGGCATACAACCTTAAACAAAAATAAGCTCTCTCTTGTGTGATAAATATACCATAATACTAGTAGATCACAGGACTGATGCTTCTTCCCTACGCAACCCAAGTAAGATTACAAACTTAAGGCTGATAATTTTATTTCATTTCAAGAAGCATGGCTACTTTCTCTTGGTGAAAACAAGTAATCATATCTTGTTATAACGGCATAATGTATGTAAGCCATTAGATCCTGTCCCAAATCACCCCATGTTTAAGCATTTGGACCCTAGCAGCTTTTCCTTCAGTGAGTCCTCGAAATCCCTGCCACTTAGATTGGACAAACGGATCAGGCAAGAAGATTTGGTACTACAAAGTGCTCACCCAAAGTCTATGAAAAAACTCTATTATCCGGATGGAACGAAAGAAGTTATGGTCAGCTGGGCTGACACACAAGTGACCCGAAATGCTCAGCAGTAATTTATGTGGCTAGAGAAACGATCAGTTTGCGTATTAATTCCGTCATACAACACCTCAGAATTATGCACCTTATACGAACCATATCTTTTAAACAGTAGCTTTGGGATTCCGATATCATTACTCCCAGCCTGACAGGTATCTAACTACACATTTCTGCTCTACTATTCCCACGGCCATCTAAACACTATGGGTTTAGATCAGCTCGTATTAAAAAAGATTCAGGGAAGCTTCGATCCGCACAGATGGGCTGATTAAAGTGGTATCCGACCAAGAATTCTGAACGAATAAGTATTTCACCTTTAAGGTTTTCTTCAACCCAGGGAAGAGTGCTTTCTAATTGGAAAAAAATGTAATCATACTCATAAGCAAAGGGTTATGACGGGGTGGGAGGATCTGGGCATCGTGTTTTGTGCAATTAATGGTGTCTTGTTTCATTGGTACTCTGAAATATATTACAGCCTACCCATTCTTCCGGTTTCTCTCCAGAATGTTATATAAATTGACGTTATGGCTATTCAAAAAATATTTTTAGTATTTAGTTGAGACCTTAACCGAAAAGACTTCTGCATTCGTTCCTCTACCTTGGAAAGAGAGAGCAGCTAAAAAGGCAATCGGACTGAAAAACAACTCTTACTTATTATTCTTAAGAGCCAGGGACATAGTCTTACAGCATAATTTCCATCCATCCATCACGTTGACCAGTCGGTGAGTTCACCATGGTTACGTAAGAACCATATCAATGTAGCAATCCAAGGTAGCAATATCATTTTTTGCTGCCAGTAATTAGTAGACTATTCTGTAACATATTTATTGAGAACGATTATTGTTCAGCATAAGATGTTTTGACTGGCGGTCGGTGACAGAAATTGCATCCCGCACACTCATTCTTTTCTTTGGTCTTAGTGTCCGGAAAATAAATTTAAATAAGTACTCTAAAGCTCAGTACTCGCCTCTCCTGAGGAACAAATAGTTCGCTAATTCCAACTGACAACGTTTGAAGTTTCGAATTATCTGAATTAACCACACTAGCTGATAACTTATACTGTGACTTATTTTTACAACCTTCGAATACGATGACTCACTTTTGAAATCGATCAGGTGTAAACGTTATTTAACAAATACACAAAGTACACGATTTCTCTCCATGTATTCACAGAATACTTTTGATTCATTTGCAAGTGCATTAGGCCTTCTTAGCAATTCAGTATTCACTTATCCACATTTCAGAGTTATCAACGTAATTAAAATTAGTGAGGGAATCTTTGACATTTGAATGTTAACTACCTGCCCAACTAGTCTTCACTTGATCTACATGTTTGTCATGAAATGAATACTCATTTGAATTAAAAATACTTAAAGTTTGAATTCATATTTTTCAAACCATATATTGGTGAACTTATTCTACAGAATAGATTGAATCGTCCACAAAAATTACTGTTCTGTAAGTTGAACTGGAAATGATCGTTAGTGTACTGTAGATGACTAACTAGGAGTCCGTCATGAATTCGAATCAATTGCAGTAACTACCAGGAAGCTGCACGACTATTGGAGAGGGCATATCTGTTAGCCTAGCTCCTACAATACTGTTGAGCACAGGAGCTCTGCTGTAATCCTATGTTTGTTATAATTAACCTGACAACAACAATGATAGAATATGAAAGCCTTGAACCATAGCAACCAGCTACATTGAGCAATAAAACTTCTGTGATATAAATAAGCTCATTAAACCCCAATTAATGTACTGTTGATTATTCGGATGTACGAAATTAAACAAAGTGTAAATCCACGGCTTAAAGAACTAAAAAAGGTTCTACGTATCCGGAAGAGCCTGAACCATATAATATTTTATCATTTGTCTATAAATTTCGAATTACGGTTTTATTCGAGCTTAGCCATTGACAGTTGTGTTTACCTTGTAGTGACCAACTTTTATCAAGAGAACACGAGTGGTGTAATGGAAACAATTATTATTATAGTCAGTTGTACCACGGATTGTTTCACTGTACTTGTTTGTTTAACTGTACCAAAACACATACATTCTTCCGTTGATTGTGACCTTGCATGAATTCGTTTACGCTCAGTAACCACACTTGTAACCTGGCTCGATCTCGGTATTGTTTCGATACCATGAGATTGCCCACAAATACATCTCGACTACAGCCATCAACTGCCCTCTGATATTTGACTTACAGGGAATCTTATCGGTTAACTGTCACGTAGCCTTCCTGTAGTGGTGACCATAGTCAACAGCGACTCCACGCCACACTACAACCTGTTGTTATCTGTTGCTCAGTGAGATTACAAATTATGTACAACCCTGAGAGATATCAAGTTGCATATGGCGAGTAATAGTTTAGTCAATAGGAATGTGAATAAAATATGAAGTTGGTTTTTTCCCAACCGTGTGTGACACGTATCCATATCTTAAGATGGATTATGTTTGTCCATTCAGAAACTCATTTAATTCTTGGTGTCAAATACAACTCAGTACAATTCAATTTATACAAATCTGATTGTAAACCCAACGAAATAAATTATATAAAATATCATGTGTTCTTAAATCATTTTGATTAATTTTGGAAATCTAGCAAATCCTAATAACAGTCTTTTGTTTTACATTACGCGGCTTTTCTTTTGTGTTCAAGCTGCCGTGTAGATTCAGCCTAGGGTTATTAGCAGTGGCTAGCAAATTGAGTCGACCTTTATCCAAATCGACAATGAGAAACTTCAATCACTTAATAGTTTATAATAGATTTGTGAATTAGTGTAGGAAATTAGAATCAGGAGTTAAGGTTATGAATCAAAGTTAGGTCTATCACTAAAAAACTGCTATTAAATATAATGCTTGAATACTAATTAGTCACATGTATGAGTGAAATCCAAAGGATGCTGTCTTAAATCTAAAGATGTCAGAAGTATTCGGAGTTCGACAATGCCTTAACCAGTAACCCCTCATATAATCGAAATATGCCAACCCATTCAAACCAAAAGTCGGAAGCGAAGAGGTTCGAAGATATTTTTGATAGGCCATCGAAATATCGAGAAATAATCAATCTAAGCTGGTAAGCTGTTGTAGGAAATGTGACGCATGGCGTAACCACCCGTGATCTGGTGCGGAAGCGTGACCGAGTGCTTTCAAATGGGTGGGTCCATTAAAACTAATGTGGTCGGCATCAAATGTCGAAGACTTACAGAGCTATTGATTTTGGGGATTCATTTACCGCTACAAATCTAAGTTGTTCATTCATGAATTACAGACAGACTTATCAAATTCAAAGCATGTTTACTTATAAGAATCCGGTCTTGGAGACCAACCACTATCTGTTCACATAATCTATGGCAGTTCACGAGACAGACTACTCAATCCATGGTGTTTGTAGAAGAGGTATATCTCGTGGTACCTCAGATTGTAGGATGGTAAATAATCTCACTGAGGTTAGATCGTATAACTTTGTAGTAATAAGAAGACATTGCCTCGTCTAATAATGAAAAAGATGAAAACTCTTAGAGATGGTTGCTAGAGTTGAAGCTATCACGAGTTCACTTAATCTGCGAACAAGAAACAAGACTCGGTGATCAAAGACCAGTAAGCTAGCTATTGATGAGTCCCAGCCACGCTAACTAGAGGGAGAAGTCCAAGCTTGTAATGGGGAAGTATATTTCCTGCAAACAGCCAGAAACGAGCGATAACAACAAACACAATTCAAAACGTATATATACAGTACAAAACCGTCCTTGGGGAGAGTTACCAAATAGCATACTAAAAGACGTGACGGACCAATAGCATTTAAGATATTTCCCAATGGGAAATACGATATGAAGGTGACAAGAGCACCTTTGGCACGAAAACAAAGAAATTCAAATTTTCTAAGTAAAATTACAAAATTATGTCCTTTCCCAAGTGAGTTCTGGGGATCTAACGTCCTCAACAATGGTGTAATTACACTCTTCAAAATATATCCGATATCACATATTAATCATGATAAATAATTTTTGTGTATTGCTATGCACACGAACAAAATATTTTGAGAAGGAATATATTTATTTGTAAATTGTCAAATAATGCAAAAGCATACAGCACTTTTTTGAAAAATATTAAAAATTAATCAGTTTTTTGTATTGCCAAAAGTATGGCAACTAAGGTTCAGTGTACGTTTGACCTTGAAACGGTGAGACGACGTTTGAGTGACGTTGAGAATGTTCACCTACTTATTAGGGCTAAATGAGGGTTATAAACCAGTATGTGGTTTTCATCACGAACTGACATCAGCTAAAATGTCAAAACGCCATTTAGCCAAATAAATGAATGAATCTCATGCCAAAGTCCAGAACTCGTTATCTCATATTTAATTGGTTCATCCATAAATTTTAGTTTCTGGTCTTCGAAACTGTTTAAGCAACTGAAAGAGATAAACAGTCATCAGGAATTCTAAATGCAAATATCTTCAGTGAAAAAAATATTTCCCATCTTCGTATTAGTACAATATAGATTAGTTGGATTCAGGTGATCTCCGCAAGTATCTAAATGAATGTTGTAAATAAACGCAAGATTTTTTTGTTTGCAAATTAATTATATTATTGATAATAAGATGAAGTAGCAACCATAAGTTTAGAGGAAAAGATAAACCACATTTAGAGGAAGTAAGTAGTGAAAATATGCAAAAAGACAGAAATATCCAGTATCACGTTTATTTGACGCTTATGAAATAATATTTCGTTTTTATTTGTGTACATCATAAGAATTTCCAATTTCTCTACAGTTTTGTCCTACAGTTAATATTCAACTATTTGGAATGGCTATTGAATAAGGGATGATATTTTATGAAAATGGTTAGAAGTTTTAAGAAAAGTGTTATAATGGAAATGGATATAATATGGAAAACTTCTATAACGAATAATGTGTAAAAATTGATTATTTGTTCATAGAATCAATCCTCAAATAGATCCCATAATATACCATTATTGACTAACTAACGAAATATATTATAAAATCAATCATTATGAAAACCTATTCAACCAGGACTAGGTTAAAATATCAGTCTATGAAATCATTAATTATTTGTTTGAACTATATAGGTAGATGCAGATTGAATGGTTGCGATCTGCATGATAACCACCATTTGTGGTCGGAGAAGTAAGGTGACATTGGCTTGAAATCATTCACAATGATGTAGATGTATCTTCCTCTCAACGGTGACTCCCAGTTTCGTTTCATACAAACCCTTTCACCATCTTTTTAAATTGTGTTCCCAAAATTAGTTTTTTTTTCTCATTACTGCTACACAATTTAGATCTCTTTTGTTATTTTCATCTTTCTGTGCTAATTGGATAATGAAGCTTGACCCAGGCTGTATGTTGCTGGTCGGTATCTGAGTTGTTTTATAGATAAGAAATAATCATAAAACATTTAATCAAGTTTCATTTCTGTCTATTTTATGAAAAACTTCTCAAGTTCAGTGAGTTCATTTTTTACTGAAGCTGCTAAATAGTTTTTTTTTAAGACTTTTAATGTTTATCTTAATAATTTGATTCAGTGGATCAAAAGAACAGTCAATAATTTTCAAGTAAACTTGTATCCGACTGAAAACTATCCCTTCTGTTAATTATAAACACCTTACCATTTGGAATGATAGCTTGTTCATCATTGTCAAATACTACCATTAACAAGTTCTATATATTTACTAAATTTTTGAGTCCTTGAGGTATTTCAAAACGTTGATAGTTTACGTAATGATTTGAAACAAAACTGATTTGTTGAATTAATGACTTATACTAAGTACTGATCATCGATACTGGTACCCTATTGACTACAACTACAGAGTAACTGCTATCTGTTATTTACAGCAAATTAAAAAAACCCTGTTCTCTTGATGCAGTGAAGAAAATAAGACTGTAATTGAAAACTGATTTATTCACCAACCGCTAATTAGATTATATCTACAACAATCATAATGTTTAGTCAATCAACAAGTTTGAATGAATTGAGCTAGCAGTTAATCAGTAACTTCATGTGTCTGTATATAGTTTGTTAAATCAGTAAACTGACTGAGAAATTTAATTCATCACTAAATGATATATTCATTTTCTTAATCACATAATGTACAAACTATTAATTTCCAGAGCTAACCAGTACGTATTCTAAATGTCAGGATTGAACCAGAATTGAAGATAAAGAGCAAAGTGAATTCACTCGAATGTTTTGTATAATGAAGTTGGAATTACGTGCTTGACTGTATAGAAAGCAATTATTATTCTATACAAATACCATAGTTACATACTTCTTCCCCTTCAATAATTTAGATTTTAAGTACATACACTTCATTTATATCCCGTCAAACATAACCATAAATCCTCAGTCTTTTCTCTAAAAGCTTAACAATAATCAAGAATAATGTGTTGACTGCTAAAAGTCTAATTTCAAAATTATAGAGTTTCGAGAAGACACATAATTTATATCCGTTCAGGCGAATCTATATGTCGTTGTTTTCTCGATTTACAAACGGGATACATTGTAGAAAACTTCAATAGATCTATTAAGTAGATAAGATCTGTTTACACTTTTTTTATATTATTGTTTTCTTCTCCATATGCCATTCACTGACAAAGGCTCCTTTCTGATTGACGAAGAACTGGCTAAGCATATATCATGCTTTTTTTAACCTCATCCATATGGTGATAAAAATAAGCTTTAGGAACGAATCAGTCAGAATCAAGTATACGACTTCTAGAATTGTAAGCGAAATTCAAATATTACTTACTACGAGTAATAGAAGGAATACTTTTGTTTGATGTTCAAAACATTTAAAGTGATAGAAAAAGATCACTTCTTATCACCATAGAACTAAAAGGATAATAATACTATGGTAACAAATGTTCAATTTTGTTTCTGGCATGTTGACAACATCTTTAAATCTTAACCTTAAACCTGTCACTCTGAAACAAACATTCATCTCGTGTCATTATATTTCATGTAAGAATCGGCTAGTGCCTCTTGCATTTTCACATGAACTTCATTCATACACTTTTGTATTGTAGCTAATGTCAATTCGTAATGAAAACTTTAATCTTAATCAAGAATATCATGGAGACTCTTCAAAATCAATTTCTTCATCCTTATAAGATTTCAAGAAAGCGGATGATCTCTATTCACAGAGGATGCATTTCTGTGTGTAGATGTCTTCCATTTACAGACAAAACAGTAGAAAATTTACAACAAACCCATTAAAATATATAAAATCTATTTATTTTGTAATATTATTGTTTTGTTGTTGGGACTATAATTTTGGCGCAAAATTCATTTAACCATTTGATTTAATAGCGTCTTGGCATTTTAGCTTATATGAGTTCGTGATGAAAACCTTAAATCTAGTTCGTAACCCTAACCATCAACTGTAAATCACAATTCCAATTCCTCACACTGCTGTACAACCATCATTTAGTCCTAGTTAGTATGATGTTTTCATGGTCACTTTGGTGTCGCTCAATGGTTGTCCATAAATTATCATCTCACCGTTTTCTTATCCATGCACTATTCACTTACAAAGGTTATTTCGTGATTGATTAAGAACTGACTGAAAATACACCTCAGTTATTTTAACTTTATCCTTATACCGTCGTTGAGTATATAACCAGCGCTCTGATTCGTTGACTTACAAGGTCATAAATATAGAAATTGATTTGATTGGTTATAAATATTCCTTTCTCCTTTGTCATAATTTGATTGGTTAATTTTTGTTCTTTGTAGATGTAGATGTAACATGTCATGTTAGATTATTTTAATCGTTGAAATCATCAGTCAATTAAAGCCAGACTACTATGGAATACCTGGAAGCATTGAATGGCCATTTCATCCTATTGTTAGATTATTTACAAAATATGAAAATGTTCAACTAAACAATTTCAAATTTCATTTTTATTTTCCCCGTTCAATAATGAAACAGCCAAATTTGAAAATAATTAAAAATAATGATAATAAGCAAAACATCAGCAAAACTTTGTTTAAGAAGCATAATTATACATGATATTTAAACAAGTTGAAAATTATGAAATGATTTGTTCTTTACTGAAATTTATATCGGAAGGGGTTTTGGGGAGATTATAGTAATTTCAACAGTTGAAATCATGAGTCAATTGAAACTAGACCACTATGGAAAATCTGAAAGCATTGGACGGCCGTTTTGTCCTATTGTAGGACTCCTCAGCAGTGCGCATCCAATGCTTCCAGGTTTTCCATGGTGGTCTAGCTTCAATTGACTCATGATCTCAACTGTTGAAATGTGTTTTTTTTCTTGAGAAAAATTGTTTTCCCCTGGATACAATCAACGAAAACAAAAATAAAATCTTATCTAGATGAAAAGAAAGATGAATAAATTTTCAAATGGGTAAATAATCATAAAAATGTCAGAAACAAAATGAAAAAAAAACCCACAGTTGAAATGCACATGATTTCATTTGTAAAAGTACATTGAAACAAAATGAAAATGAACATTTGTATGTATGAATATGCATGCGTGCGTACATGTATATGGGTTCATGCAAGATGAGGCTAATTAAACTTGTAAATAATAAAATGAAAGAATTCGATAGCATAGTTTACAAAATGTTTTGCACATAAAAAAGGATAAAGGATTAAAGGACAGAGAGAATAGAATGTTATGTAAGTATGAAGAAATTAGAAATGATAAACAATTATCATTAGTAATATTATTACATCAATTATTATTGTATAATGAAGTGTTTATTAATTCTTGAATACAAGTTATAACCGCAATAGAGATTTCAATATAAATAAGCATAGAGAAGAAATAATCACGTTTACACTTTTCATCCATGAAAATATATATATATATATATATATACATCATAATCATGTTGTAATAATTGAAATAAATTCAATAACTTAATATAAATCTGGACATTTACTCCAATCTCTTTTCCAATAATCACCGGTCATTCTCCATTCTTCATGTTTAGTAAATGGATTCACTGATGGTATAAACCATAATGGACTAATTATTTGATTGTAATTATTATTAGAATTTATATCCAATGTAGTAGGATTAGAATTACACAAATTTTTATCATTGTTATTATCATCAACTAATATAGAACGATGACCAGTTGAATTTGATGAAAATGTTTTTTTAAATGGATTATTTGTAAAAAATTGTTTAACTGTATTATTCACTGTAGTATTATTCATATTTGTAAGATTTAACTCTTTATCAATTGACTTATGATTAGTTGATATTGACCAATTGAAATGAGAGATTTTCCGTTGACCATTTAATGATTTACGCTTATAACGTTGTTTCTCTTCTAAACGTAATTTTTCACTAGCTGCTTTGTCTAAAAGAAAAAGAATATGTATAAAAGAACTAATGGAATTTAAAGGGAAGGACTAGGGAAAATAATATAGTGTATTTATTTTATTTATTTATTTAAACACACAAACATTGATGCAATGAAACATCAAATATATATGTGTCTTACTTCATCATCCGATATTTGTGAAGGCTGGGATACTGTCCAGGTGCCCAAACCGAACCAGGTGGTTTTATTAGTAGGCCACTTTCTGAGCCTTTAAGCTAAATGTCTAATCCATAAGCTGATGGAGCAACTTTAGGAGATGCAGTCTCATGGTCGCAGGTGACCAACAATAGGTTCAAATGTCTTTTGTTCCTTCAGGACACTGGAGCCCATGTGCCCTATTGGTTTGGAATCAGGGTTTTCCAACTCCCCTAGGGAAGTCCTCCATATCCACCATCCCGGTTAAAGTGCCGAACATTCACTTTTCATCCTCTTAGTTTAGTAAACAACACCCGTGATGTGGGGTAATGGGTAGGACTTCCTTGACAATTGCTGTATACGTGTGGGCATGAGAAGACATTTCGAGAGGAAGAGCGAACTTCCCCCTAGCCTCGGCCGTACCAAGCCATTTGGGGCATAGTATGAGATCGAGTCAAATAAATTAAAGAAAATAATTCTTAGGTTTTTAAATAAGCATAAAAAATGAGTAACTTTTTTCGATAGTGCTCAGACTGTTTAGAAGTGCTAGGAAAAATTCTTTTTGACATTATAGAATTAAATATTAAATGTACCAATTGCTTGCTTTTTCACGGAGAGATTTTACATCACACATGAATCGACCAGATGCTGCTGAAAATTCACTTTTAAGTTGCAGTAAAACTCGGAGAGAAATCATTTTACTAATGATTCATGGAATAATAAGTGAGATAGTGAAGTAGGAATGTTAAAACAGACAACAGTTTTTACATAGGATGTATTCATATAGATAAGGTGGAAGATATGTTTCTCGCACGGTTTCACCTTGGTAAGCCTTCAAAGAATTCGATGCAGACTTCGTAGAAGATGATGAACTTTTTACAGAGCTATTTTTGTGACTCAGACAGATAAATATATTCAAACTCGAACGAGCCTTGTTATACAAGACATTCCTACAGAATTAAGATGGGAAGAAATGGTAAAAACCCTTGTGAAACCAATGCACTTCTTAAAACCCTTAAACTCTATCACTTTTTAATTTCACCTATCAGGAATTACTTTAGATTTATACAGACTCACCGATTATTAATTAAAATGTGGCTTCAAAATCACGTCGTCATTCTAAGAATCACTTAAGCTTAACTTCAGACTACAACCACTGAGAAACAGGAAACACGAGGAGGGTGCTTCGTCGTAGTATAAGATTCCTGAAAATTGTGCGTCCATAACCACACTGGGAATCAAACTACGAACCTTTAGATTTCGTGGTGAGTTTTTAACCTGAATAAGACCAAGCCGTGATACAAACTATGAAATATAACGATCGCTAAAAGTCTCAGAGTCCAAGTGAGCGACAGCAACCAGTACACTTCAACCATTTGGGGAGTGAAACAAACATCATCAACGGCATTGGTTAATGGTGGAGGGATATCGCGAATCGATTGAAGTTACACATGTAAACAATGGGACGTTGTGCTCAGTGATGTAAAGGTTAAGTGCTGATCATGAGATGTGAATGTCCTGGGTTTAATCCTCAGTGGGGCTGTGGATGTGCACTATCGAGAAGTGCCATACATAACTTTACCTGGTAAATCTTAAGCCGTCTTATGGTTTGTACTGATGGTGGAATCCAAAGGGCCTAAACACAGAAAATTAAAGTGGATTAGTCTAAGATGTTTCTAGTTTCCATGACTTCTAGTTAACTACGGATGAGTCGAATAGCCAAATATCCTGTTGATTTGACTGCTAACAGAGTTCGATAAACAAACAATTTGCTCAGTCTAAGCAACATTAATAATAGGGATCACACACTTTTATATGCGTGTCATGTTCACTAGCAGTTATCATTAGTGACTTGATTGGAAATGAATTCACAAATTTCTGTTTCGAATTCATAACAAGTAGTGTCAACAAAGTTAAATATGAGCTAAATGTTTACCAGTGATCTTAAATAGCTATCCGGATAAGATTTAAAAACCTTGAGTGCGATATTCACTCAGACTAATGGCCACAATGCAAATCGAAGACCAGCCTGATACACATGACATTAGTTACTACTTAGTGGTCAACCAACATACACCTAAATTCTAATGGAGGTCAGTTACTGTTTGAAAAGCTCAGCAGTAACAACTATGACTGCGAAACGGATTAACACGAGGTCGGACCCAACAGGGAATATCAGGCCCCTCAAGATTACAGGTACGCCTTGTTGACAAGTAGTATCAAACAGTAGGAAACCTAGGTTCAGGGTTTCATGTCGACTGCCTCTAAACAATGCATGAAATCAGATGGTTAATGAATATATTGGATTATAGGTAATCAATACGATAACCTATTTGAGACATATGCTTGAAAAATTTCAATCAAAAACATTATATACAACAGATGGAATGCAGCCAGCAGGGGAATCCAGGATGCGTGTTTTAGCCTACTTGAGACCTATTGAATGGATATATTTGAATCATAGAGTTGATGTTCACTCCAGGATTCGGACCCAGTACATTTCTACTCAAACACCCGCTACATATAATCCCTTTAGCTACTGAGTATGGATAGCCACTCCTTAAATGCAGGCAACAGCTGTATCCAGCTAACAATTCCCAAAGAGGATGAAACGTGCGTCCTAGATCCCATTACTAGCCAGATTCCATTTAATCTATTAAAAACTTGGGATATAACGGCTATATCGAGGCAATCAGCACAAGATGCACATATGCCAGCTAAGATTGGTCAAAATTCAGTCAAGAATATCAATATATATATTCCACAATGATAAAAAGTGGGAATCAATAATAATCATACTCACCAATAAGACCCATTTCAAATAAACGTATATCTGGACGATATCTGGAATCTGTCGGTGGAAGAAACTGTTCATACATTGAATTTTCTTGACATGGAATTGCTTCTCTAATGTTATTTGTACAATTCGACATGATCTCGCTTGAATTTTTTTGATTATCAGTTATATTATCATTACTCATTGTCGATTTACAGATTGTCAATTCATTTAAACCCATTGTGTACTGTGTGAAATCATAATAGTCCTTTGAATTAATTGGTTTCGGTGTAGCAATCCATAGACAACGTTGCCCAGTTAGTGGTATTTCGAATCCATAATCCAATAATTCAATACATTCAGAGCTGTTGGTCGATTGTCCATCAGCGTCATTATTATCGTTGTTATTACTGTTTTTCTTTGGCTGGTTTTGTGTGTGTGTGTATGTGATTAGTTCCAAAGATAACCGGGAGCACATCAATTTATGTGTGAAATGATAAGTAAGGAGAATGAAATAAGAACTGACTGATCATTATATACATAATGGTGAAATAGAAAGATTATTATACTGGATAATATAGTGTAAATAATAACAGTATGAGGTACTATAGCATTCGTATTACGTCATCATGTCTATTAATTGTTTGTATTTATATTGTTTGTATATATATATATATATATATATATATATATATATATATATATATATATATATATATATATATATATATATATATATATATATATATATATATATAGTTCTTCTACAAAAGTTATGACCAAACAACTATATCGAGGCGATCCTCACAGGATGCTCATACACCAATTGAAACCTATTTGAATTCAGTTAAGAATATCAGTAACAAAATAAATTTAAAACTGTAATAATAGCAGTGTCGTAACGTGTGAGACTGCAGATTATGGAGCAGCGTTTTATCAATCGATTCAGTGACACGTAAACACGTAGTGAACGACCTAGAGTCCCGATCGGCCCTGCTTCCCCGTCTATCCCAGCCAGTTGAGTCCAGAACACAAGTCACAGCCTCTGAGATATGAATCATTGTATTTCAGACATACTCCGTATATATACCGACCAAACAAACCATATCGTACCATAAAATAGAAAACAACATTTACACAATATTTAACAAGTGAACAGATATCGACCAATAGGAGATGTCCATTTAAATTCCAAGGACATCATTGGACTTAACACGATAATTATTGGTATATTTTCTTGAACATCCTAACAAGCAGTTATTATCATATCACATGAAAAAGCTTTGTCCGCAACAAACTGCTATATCGAAATTCAAAACAGTTTAAATTGGGGTAGGAAAAACTATTTCCTCCCATCCGTTACAATAGTGAAGAGGGATTCACCATTTATCATCTTCTAGATCTCAAGTGGCAATACCTCTTCGTACATGCCTAATCATTCTGTTATTTCGAAGCATATTACTAATGCTTATTATGTGTAGTTATCATTTTTATGCTAATATGATATGACGGATTATGCCAACGAGATTTTTTCCAGGCTCTACATTGATCATAACCGACTGATTGAAAGCAAATACGTGATGAGTGCATACTGTCAATACAGATTGAAAATTAATGATTTCTGTTTCTTATTTCTTTTATTCTAAATAAATCAACTGGTTAGTGATTTATTGAATAATAGGCATTCTACTTGTATGGAGTTGAAACATGAAGAATTACTACAGGTATTTATGAACAGCTATCTACGCAAGATACTCAATGTCCGTTGATCGGATACCATCAGCAACAACCTACTGTGGCAGAGAATAAACGAACTTCCAACTATAGAGGGAATTAAGAGAAAAACGCCCAAGATGGATAGGTCACAATTTACCGGAATCACCAAACTGCATCACGAGGCAAGCTATAGCTTAGAATCTTGAAGACTAAAAGAAAAGAAGCAGTCCAAAGAGCACATTGCTCCGTGAATCGGAGACATCGAAAAAATGAATAGCAATTGGGAACATTTGGAAAGGAGGGCGCAGGATAGAATTATTTAAAGATCCCTAGTCGGAGGCCTATATTCAATGAGGGGTGATAGGTGTAAGTAAGTAAGTAAGACCGTATATAAATGTAAAAATAGGTCACAATTTTCATTCATTTTCTTAGCGAAATATTTTACATCATATAAATGATTTATTCATTGGCTATTTCAGTAGTATTGTAGTGAACGAGAACACGAGTGGGGACAATCGAATGTATTTAGCACAACAATTACAGACTATCTCAATAAAATCCGAATATAGTAAATCGTCAATTTGCAAAATATTCATGTATCAAATCAAACCAGACTGTTTGTGTTGCAAACACCAATCCATTGTCTCCCATTCCATTGTTCATAGGTTTTCTTACAAATTCCATTATGTTCTCGCTCTACCTTTCTCGATCTTCGCCATCATCTACTGCCAGACCTTACGCTCTTTTGACGCACGTTATATACTACTTATATCAATATAAGTAGCTCACACCACAGTATGAAAAACACTGAGATAATTTTTAGTGTCGCTCAAAATCAAGTTGGTTACACCGATTTATAGAAACATAATTTGTTAGTTGAAAAAGTATTCTAAAACACATAATTTTTTTCAGATGAAATAGATTGTCTGAAAATTAACACGTAATCTAATCTGCATAACTTAGAAGTCTGTTTTATTTACCTTATGCATCAAAGATTAATCACAATCCAATGAGTTTTTATTATAAGATGATTAGAGATGGCCTACTGAAAACCCTGGATCTAGGTTTCATGTTAGTTAGTACGCATTAGTGAAACATGCCTGCAATCTTAAGTGAACTGATTCTCTCTGTAGAATTAAAACTAGGCTGAATTAATAGATATGACACTAGTCACTATTATGACCACTCAGTAATTAATCAATGTAATCTTTTATTATAACATACAAGGTTAATTTCCCAGTCTCTTATTATGATTCCTCTTTTTGATAAAGTGTATGATAAATAAACTTTATTTATGTGTATTTCTTCATCTATCAGTTCACTTAGTGTTAAAAACCAGAGTATACTGATCATAGTCGCTTTCCGCTTTTAATTATACTAATGTTATGAGTAAGGTGATTGGAAGAACTCCAATCTTTGAATTTGATATCAAGCGTAGTCAGTGTAAAGTAATTCACACACTTATTTTCAATTTGTCCAAATCGATCAATATATATATTTATATTTAACTGCCGACAAAACAAGGAACTTTGACCTATTAATAAGATATGAAAACGTAACTCTGGAAAGTAAACATGTTTTTTTCGGTTTCTTTACCTTGGAATAATATTAGTGCCATGGCAGTCTTAATTTAAAATCTATATGCAACACATCACTAAGCTAACATGTACATCTTTACCTCTTGCGCAACACTGTAAACTAATAAGATTATTAGAGTTGAAATCACTAGTCGATCTAAGCTAGAACACTAATAAAAACCTAGAAGCATTGAATGGTCGTTTCATCTTGGTGAGGGACTCCTCATTAGTGCGCACCCACAATCCCGCACGCGGGATCCGGAAGTAGTAAATTAAGACATTTTTCTCAAATTCCCTTATGAAAAAACACTTAACATGATCATTTCTGGCTGAATACTTTCGAATAATGAATGAGTTATACCAAATGAATTTGTCGATGGATTAATTTGACTAGAACGTTGAACAATCTGATTTGGTTCGAGAAACTGGATGATATTATTTAATTTTACACGAAATAATTGTTTTGAAGCGGATAACATGAAATTGTCAACTACTTAACTGAATTACACAAAAAGATTGAAATTTACAATGTTTTCACACTGGCTAAGCAACTTGAAAGCTCAACGCAATTCATCTTATGTTGAATACTCAGAAGTATGTATGAACAAAATAGTTTATGGACAATAATTTTTAATAAATATTCTATTTGAAGTTTTACATCATGAACTGTCTTTGATAAAAACAATCATTGGGAATCAGAAATCATTGAATGAGGACCCTTACAGCTGGTGCCTATTCACAAACCCTTCATGTGGATAAAAGTCATGGCATTCAAGTTTCACTGAGAGCTATAAAACTTCGAATCTCTCAGTAGGCATCAAATTGTTTACATTTTTAACTTCATTCAATTCTCATTACTGCTCAACTATCATCTGTTGCGACTGATTAAATTTGCCACACATTCAATATGACTTAACTTCACTGGTCATTACTGTTCATCAGAACTCCGGAGATTACCCTACGAAATTATTCAGAACATGATTATAAGTATTGTTATTACACAGTATTATTGTAGAGATTAATAAGTTTGTAATTTTACATCTTAGATTGACTTTGGTAAGGAATCAAAATCCTGGGTTTTATTTCATGTGGTAAAACTTCAAATTCAATAATCTTAGAAAATTCCAGAAATAACAAAACATTCTATTCCCTTTGTATCGATACAAGTCATATATCCCTAGTTAGAGACAGATTAGATTACTACTCAGCGATACTATATCGCCTATTCAAACAGAATTAGAGAAAACGTAATTTGAACATGAAATCTAAATGATTAATTATTGAATGTCAAAACTATATGCTATTATGATAGAGTTAATGATATAGTGAAGTATATTCGTAGCTTAAAATGACAATTTTGGAGGTGTTATATTCATTCAACTAAATAATTTTATAATCATGTTTATGATCTATATTAGGCAACTGTAGGAAGCTCTACTACTTGATAAAGTTTTCTTAGGTTAAAACAATGAAGTTTGTGCTGATGATTTCGTTCAGAAGAATGATGAAAGCTCCACAACTAAACTATTCAACTCAGAGAACAAAACTCCATCAAAATCATTCACCTAAGCTACCATTCTTCTCCACCATCTCACAATGAAACGCATGTTACACCAATTTGATTTTATAATGATGGATACTCACAATTGATTGATCACTTGGTGGCGATCAATGTCATGCGTGTCTAGTCCTTATTAGTGCAGATCGAATGCTATTGATCATGTTGCAATGTGGCCGCCAGTCTAGGTGACTCGACACTACGGGCACTATATATTGAGATTAGATGGTGGTTGGAGGTAGTCGACAGGAAACCCTGAACCCGGGTTTCGTGCTACTTGGCACTCGTCAGCAAAGTGTACCTGTAATCTTGAGGGAACTGGTGCTCCCTGGCGGATTCGATCTCGTGTCACCCAACTTTACAGTCAGAGACGTTACCACTGAGCTATCCGAGCCGCGACCGACCTCCTGCAGGACTGAGATGTAATCGCGATTAATTGATCCCTGGGTGGCGATCAATGTCATGCGTGTCTAGTCCTTATTAATGCAGATCGAATGCACCAAACCCGGGTTCAGGGTTTCTTGTCGACTACCTCTAACCACTATCTAATCTCAAAATGATGGATAATATTTATAATTCAGCTTAATGGTAAATTTCAATATTCAATAAACAATTTTTTAAAAATTTATTTCATAATCTACACATTTAAACAATTCCAGGGATAATAATAATAATAATAATAATAATAATAATAATAATAATAATAATAAACTTTCTAAACAATAGGGATTAGAAAAAAGTGGAAACTTTCGATAGTGAAAAGAACAAACACACATATGCGCACACACACACACAATAAAATGAGAAAATCAATGATAAAATCAACAAAAACAAACAATAGAATTTACTTAGTTACACTTATTGAACAAAATCGAAATGATTCAATGTTACTGTTATGACAGTCTCTGTTATTATTATTATTATTATTATTATTATTATTATTATTATTTAATTTTGATTGTGCTGACTTTAAACTGATCAGCCCTCTTTTAGTTCATAAATAATTTTTAAAAAAAATATTTGAAATAAACAAATAAATAAAAATCGTATTGTTCTTGTTTTAATTGAGAGAATTGCAGAGTGGAGCGAATTTTAAAATTCTCACATAGAGATAAAAGTATAATTAGAGACGAGTTAATCAGAATTGTGAATGCATAGTAAGAGATAGAAATACATTTATGCTCTGATCAGAATGTTTAAAATGATAACAGGAAATTATTTCTTGGCAAATTGATCGTATTCCCTGAAACTGAAATCTTGTAACAAATTTTAACCTATTGGCGTTATATTCTATCAAGGTATTGATTTCACAGTGTTTAATGGATTTTCGGGTTGAACGTTTTTCATTTCTAAAACTAAAAAGGTTAATTTTTCACTACAGCTCATGTCGGTTCGCGATGAAAACCCTAATCCTAACACTAACCAAGAATACTGCGAGAACTCTTAAAAGCCTACTTGTGTCCTTTCAAGGATTGGGGGAGACGCATAATGAAAATTCCTATGAGGGAATTTACTTGTAATCGTTTTTGTGATTTCAGTCAGTTTTGTCATGTGCAATGTAGAATTTAACACGTGTGTAGACTAAAGTTTCCATGCCACATTAACACAGTGAGATAAAATTATCAAGATAAATCTGAGAGTAGTAGGGACAATGACAGCATCAATAGTAGTATATAAGATCACTTGTACTCAAAAAAGGTATAAGGAGATTTTGAGATTCAGGAACTAAGAGAACATAAAGAATGAATGCATTTACACCTCTAAGGACTGTTCCGAACCATGTCACTCAACGTTTCAGACTACTGAGCACAGATATCTCACGAACTCCAATAGTTAGCTTGAAACTACCTACATGGATCAATCCAACAAGGACTTCATGGACTGATGCCGCCGTTTAATTTTGTCACCCCTAAGTTCCTTTCAATCTATTCCTACAAAAAAAAACATCGCTCATCTAGGCAGGTGGTGGTTTGGCATACATGACACACATTCCAACCACCTTAGCTTCATTAATCAAATTTCCATCTCTACTTAGTACCCTATACTTAACCAAAGTGTTATATATTTTTTTAAGGTTTAAAGACATTACAACCTGTAGATGACTTTAATAGACTTATTCAATATTCAAAACTTGTTTATACTTTGTAATATTATTAGTTTAGTTTTTCTTCAAAAACTGTTCATTTACAAGATATAATTTTTGATTGGTCAAGGGTTGGCTGAAAATTTCCGCGGTTAATTTTAAGCTCTTACCTATATTATACTGTGAATAAATATTTATTATTATGCTCATATCAAATAACTTTAATTTGACTGGTCAGTTGTAAAGTATACAGCGAAAAAAAAGACTGAACAGCACACATTATGAATTGAATAGATCGCGAATGGATTTTAAGGGTAAGATGAATCCATAAGTTTTTTACAGATTCACTTTTTTTTGTCGATTTTTTATTATTTGAAAAAGTTATCGGGACAACTTCTTACTGGTCATTGATTTACAATGATTTTCCCTGACTGATGTCAACTCATGTTGATGATTATACAAAAATCTCACTGAAACCATTTAAAATAATATTTGTGCATTTGAAGATGAATTTTCGAAAGAAATCTAATGAAAAACTGTAACCCGTGTAGTAGTAGTAGTAGTATACAGAGTTGTGAGAGAAGTAAGATGAAAATTATTCAATGTACGGCGATTTGTATGAAGTCAGAAAAAGTGATCGGTAAAGCCTTAGCTCAGATTTTTCATGTCCACCAAGAAACGTAATGATCTTGTAGTTCATTACCCTTGTGGGGTTGTATTATGTGTACTACTAGGAAGTTCCAAACAAAAATGAGACAACAGTGAACATCATGAACAAACAACCTTAGAGGAAAGGGGATTACTATCATCTGCTTTTGCATATGACAATTCCATATAAACAATATCATATAGAATTATGAAATCCAATCATCGGATAAAGTTTAATACTCTAGTAAACTTGTCAAAAGCTTAAAAATGACATTCTATGTTGTCACAGAATTATTAGTTCCTTATTTAGTGTAAATAAAATTGATCCATTAGACTGAAAATGGCAAAAGGAATAATTATGTTAAAAAAGAGACTTGGTGAACAATGAATCTTCTTATCTGATACAGTGCTTCCAGGTTTTCAATGGTGGTCTAGCTTCAACTGACTCATGATTTAAATCTGTGAAAATGATCTGATACAGTTTGAAGTTAGACTTTTTCACATTTTGGAAGGTTCCACAGCCTTCAATTGATTAGAAGACTGAATAAGTATATGGAATTTGTAAGAAAATTTGATAATTGCACAATGATAGCAAACAGAAATGTTAGTTTGTTTTTTGAAAAAAAACAAGTAAACATTATCACTTACATCAATGATTTCCTCCTTTTCATTCCAAACATTCGGTTCGACTGAGAATAGACCACGAGACCAATTACCAAAAATTATTCTGTTTAATACATATGAACTATTATGATGATTAAATATATTTTTACTGATAGTATTAATAGTAGTAGTAATAGTAGTATTATGAGATGTATTTGAAGCTGAAACTGCCTGCATTTTATCTAATGTTGATGGAGCATATAATTCACCGATAACACGATTATAACCATGTCCAAACGAATTAGATGGATGAAATTCTAACTGACAATATAATCCTAATGAATGATTAGTGATACGCAATGTGCCAGTCTGTAAGTATCCGAGAGAAAAAGTCAGAAGAGTGGAACAAAATAAAACAAGATCGTAATGGTAGTTATGAAAAATAATAATAATAACCTTACAAATTGGTTTTTATTAGACAATCATTAAAAACCTGGAGACACTGGAAGGTTGTTTCGTTCTAATGCAAGACTTTTCTGCAGTGCGAATCCACGAATTTATCAGATGTCAAACAATTATGTGTTCACTAATAACTAATTTCGAGAGGTAATTCCCGGAATTCTTGTGAGAAGTCTTGATCCTTAATGTTCAAGTATGTTAGGTATGAGGTAGTTATCCACAAATGACATTGGACGATGTCTGTGGGGTATCACGAATTGATTGAAGTTAGAAGTACAAACCATTGGATGCTAGTGTACTAAATGTATCAAAACGTAATATATGTCGTAATTAGTCGGAAACTTTTCTGAAAAAAAACACTGATGAAGTATATTTAATACGCAGTTAGAGTGTAAAAATAACTTTTGTCACAAATTTTCAGTAGATGGAGAACTGTAGAGTATAAAATACGACTGGGTAGTTGTTTCGTCTTAGTTTAAGGCTCCTCAATAGTGTTGACCCACAGTAGACAAAACAGTTCCAAGAACATTCAATTCTTATGGGTTGAAGTTTAATGGTTCACAGTTTTTAACTTGATCCAATAATCACTGGTAAGCTTCTACTTGGTATATTACACGGGGTACTGACTTATTGTGGAAATTTTTTGTAATTAATTTACAATCTATTTAATATAGGTGTTGGAGTATTGAACTGAACTGAACTGAACTGAATTACGTAAAATCACCAATCTCCTATTTTCTGACTGGTACAGTTTTTAGCAAGATTTAGTGTATTAATGATTGGTCAATTTAATCAGAATAGTTAACAGTTAAGTGAACTATTGTTTATCATAAAATAAAGCAATATATTCATATAGTGGGTTTGTGGAGATTGTTTAATCTTAAGTTTTAAATCACGAAACCACTAACACAACTATTTCATCATGGGGATAATACGTCTCAGTTGTGTTTATCCAAGACTTTATAGGGGATTAAACCAAAAACCTTCAGATCTCGCGGCGAACACTGAGTCGGCGTATATGACAACATGATTTTCGACTTGAATTGGTTTTCTTTTTCATTCAACGCTAGTTAACTATTCAAATAAGTGACATGTAAATTTGAATAAACAGAAATGTGATGAATAAAAAGTAACAAATTAAATCAACTGTTCAATCATCACATGAGAACTGAGAGTAAATTAAAATCAGATGTTAATTGGTAATTACGCAACAGATATACATAGTGGGGGAGGGGGGAAGTTAGCAACAGTCATTATCTATGGTTACCTAAACAAAATTAGGCGAGACGGAACTCGAACCTGGGACCTATTGGTTGAATGTAGGCATATTTAACAATCAGTAATTAGTTGTTTCATATTTGAATTGATGACATATGTTTATTTTACTTTCATTCTTGACGCAATGAGTCTCATAGTTACTGATATTATATCATAAAATTAACAGGAATGTGCTAAATAGAAATTACTTTACACATATATAAGCAACAAATTGATCACAACAACAAGTAGACTCACATGTTCCACCCAAATTTTACCAGTCAATATATTATGTATTGTTAAATTGACATTTTGCCATGTATATGATTCATTAAAATGATATAATTGTAATGTAACTAATCCTTTCGGTTGAACGTCAATTGATTTACCCCAAAAACGTAATTTAAATTGTAGAGTAGCACGTAGACTATAATTATCTGATTCAACATGAAAAGCTGTGATTGGTGGATGATGAGATACCTTGGGATGTGAATGAGGAGAAACATGAATGTAGATAATAACAAGGAAACGGTGAGTGAACGTTTAGTAAAAAGGAATCTGTGATGATAGTCTGATTTCATAGTTTACACTGCTAGCTGATTTTAGTTAAAGAACCATTGAAAAACAGGAACTAATAGATAATTGTTTCTTCTTAGTATGGGACTCCTCAGTAGCGCTCATTCACGGCTTCATTAGGAATCGAACCCATGAACTTTAGGTCTCACAAAAACAAACAAAAAGAATTATAGTGAGTGGCTCTGACTAGTGAAGTTCAACCATACCGGATGTGAAGCAGTTATCCACCAATAATATTTGAAAGAGGTTGCGCAATATTGCAAGTTAATTGAGGTCAGACATACAAACCATTAGATACTGACTCAATGGTCTAAAGGTTAAGTACTCACCATGAGACCTGAGGGTCATGGGTTCGATACCCAGTGAGTTTGTGGATGCACACCATTGAGGAGTTCCGTAATGGGAAAAACAGCTGTCCGGTTATTTTTTGCTTTCATATGGGTGAATGAATCAAAAAATCAAAAAATAATAAACCTCAAAAGAAAATAACACCAAAGTAACAGAAAAACTTAACCAATCAATCAGTCAATCAAGGATGAAACATACTTGTTCTGCAACGAATACAAAATTCCTGTAGTGTAATTCGTAAGTTTCACCTAACAAAGGATTGAATGGTTTACCAATACGACCAGCATTTGATGACATACTAGATACAGCGAATGCTGATACAAGCTGTAAGAATATTTAACAAAGAAAAAGAAACCAGACTTTTTTAAAATAATTCTCAATATACTTTGGAGTCCCTAAAATCACACAACGGGAAGATTCAACATAACCCTTACAAATTAATTGAAATTTATCCTCGTTACACACGCTAATTGTTATCTGGGCTCAGAAGTTAAGCTGCTTAAAACCGCCGTGTATATTAAAGTTTCATTAATTGTGAAGCCAGAGATTCTAAATTTTAGCATCTTTAATCGTTAGTGACTGATACGTGCCATAAACACTTCAGGGATGTTTTAGGATCGCTTAAACTCGACAGTATACTATACTTTACCATATATACATAGGCGTGATTGCGATTGATTGGTCATTGAGTAGTGACTAATGTCATGTTTGTCTAGCACGAAATGCTGATTAAATTCTGTCGACGGATCACTAGCCGGGGAGATACACTTTTACGAGTTCGATATTTTGATGTTAAGCGATTGAACGTAGTTTATAGAAAATTTTGAACCCAGGTTTCATGTTAATTTCAGCTTTTCATTAAGACATGTCTACAATTTTGAGGGGATTCATGCACCCTATACGATTCGAATCCTTTTCACTCCTTTTCACCGTCATATGAGTTACAACTGAGTTTTTCGTGTCACGAATAGTTTGAAACTCCGAAGTTGGGTTCGAGTCTCACAGGAAGCATCAGTTCCCTCTAGATTACAGGTATACCGTGATGATAAATGCCGGTTAGCACGGAACCCGGGTCTAGAGTTTTCCATCTTCTGTCTTTAGTAACCTAACATGTAAGCTGTCGTTTTGTTGAGAATAATTTTCATTTAATAAATATCATTTATAGAACCGTAAACTGTGAGTCGTAATTCTGATATACCATACAACATATATGAGTAAATTCAATAGTAACTGACGTAAAATTGAAACTGGTTCATACACTTTGCTATGTAACTAGTTCACTGACAACTGGATATTTTAACTAATCAAAAGTATCCTGGTTTTCATGTTGTTTTTTTTACTTCAATCGTACTGTAACATACAATACAATAATAGAGATAAATGTTCATTGTGAAGACTGAAGTGCTTAGTAATGATGACTATTATTAGTATGAGATAAAAATATAAGACGGTGAATTGATTTTTGAATGAGACTTCCTATTCAATTGACACTTTCCTATTAATTCAATATGATTTTATTCAGAGAGGGGTTTTGTGAATATCGTAGTAATTTTATAGTTGGATTCATGAGTCAATTGAAGCTAGATAATCATGAAAAACCTGGAAGCGCTTGATGGCCGTTTCCTCCTAATATGGGGCTCCTTAGCAGTGTGCACCCACGATCCCGCTTCGCGAGATTCGAACTCAGGACCTGTCAGAAGCCGTGACCAGTGAAGTTTAACCGGGTCTGTTGTGAAATAGTAACTCATTGAAGATAATGGTGAATGTGTTGCTCAATTTCGTGGATTAGTTGAAGTTAGACCTTCACACTGTTGGATGCCGGTTCAGTGGTTTAAACGTTAGGCGCTCGCATGCGAGACAAATAGGTCCTGGGTTCGAACCTCGCGAGTTGGAATCGTGGATGCACACTGCTGAGGAGTCCCGCAGAAGGACGAAGCGGCTGTCCAGTGCTTTCAGGTTTTCCATGGTGATCTAGCTTCAATTGACTCATGAATTCAACTATTAAATCAATATGATTTCTGTTCATTTAAATTTAAGCCAATTTAGTGTAGTTTTTCGTAAGCATAACAATAATTCGTATTCATTAAATTATCATGATTTTTTTGAAATTTAACATTGGTTCAGTATAATATCCATATGTAATTAGTTCTTTGTGATTTTACGTTTAAATGACAATTATTCAGTTTGATAAATTCATGTCACTAATAATCACTGAATTTAATTGTTATATAACTGAATGAATTTGAGTGTAATTCAATTCTCTTGGGGTCCCCCTCTAGTTAATCTGTCGTTTCAAGATTTAATTGAACTCGAGTTTGATGGGATCCTACGGTAACTTTTAATTACCAGAGATTGAGGTTCTTTTAAAACGAATACGAACTAGCTAAGAACTCGACAAAACGATCACTGATACACACAACACTTAAACAAATATCTCTAATACGATAAAACCCTAGAAGACCTAGAAGAAACCTAATGTTCTAGAAGTCAAGTTAATAACTAAGACCATCTAACCTGAAACGTTCCTAGCTAAAAAAGTTTTTGTGAAAGTTGTGTTTTTCAGTAGTCGTGATTACGAGAGAGTGGAAAATATCGTAGTTCATTTCAAAGTACCGTCTCATTAGGGAGTGGCATCGACGATGATAACAACGACAATAAGTCTTATACAAAAACAAAATATTATACCAGACATTGAGTATGTGCCGTTTATGTAGAAGGATATTGAGTTCGTTCAATAGTGACAACAATAATAGAGTTAATTTAGTTTTTAATGTTTTGGATTATTTCACTGTCGATATTTTACTCAAATCTGATTAGTTTCTGTTATTACATGTGGGTCCTGTGCGAATTACCTCACTATAGCCATCACGACACAAGTTGGCATAGAGTAGATGAGGTGTAGCTAGTAGGCGAATCCAAGATGCGCGTGTTACCTTATTTGGGACTTGTTAACTGAATGTACCTACTTCATCCCAATGTTGACATTCACAACTGTAATCAAACGCAGTACCATTCGATTCGAACGCCCAAACGCGTTATAAACACAACTACAATCCAGATAGTCACTACTTTGTGCAATGGAGATGAATTTCAATTCATTTGTAACAGTTGCTTGAATCTCCACGTTGTTGATGTCAAGTATTGCAGAATGTATTGTGTGATGATGGTTTTATCGAAGCAATCTGCACAACAAGAACATGTAGTAAACCAAGATTGATCAAACTTCAGTCAATAAATTAACAACGAGATTATCCAAACCATTAGAAATTAAATTAGAATTAATACACGTTGCATAAAGTACTGGTTAATTGGATTCAGTAACCAATTGGATAACTCATTGAAGTGTTTAAATTGAAAGGTTGCTGGGTTCGAGCATCGATGTATAAATCAACTCCGGGATACAAATACATCCAGCTGATGAGTCCTAAATAGAACGAAATATGAGCCTTGGATTCGCTTACTAGTCACATTCTATCTATTCTATGGTAAATAATAAAACTATTCAAATAACTTCATATCAATCGAGAGAAAAATTGAGCAACTATCATGAATGCCAACAACAACAAAAAAAGAATTACAGTTTAGAGATACAAATTAACCTAATGAAAAATTGTGTTTTTGACATTATTTATCAATCTAAAAACAATCGAATTCTTATATGAATAAATTTATAAAAGAAAAAATAAAGTTTCAATAATGAAAAAGAAAACGGAAAAAAAGAAAAGAAAAAGAAAAGAAAAAGGAACAAATAGAAAGATTCAATAGTGAGATATTCACATACGATTGACTGTATAGATTAACAACATTTGAAGAACATAGTGATAATCATTAAATTTATAGTGAAATAGGTTAAACAATGAAAAATGTATGTGTGTGAGTGTGTGTATGCACGTTAGTGTATGTATTAAAACCAAGTTTTATAAGTAGGTTTTTTTTTACAATCCAAAAAAATGTAGAGTGATAGAGGGGGGGGAGAGAGAGAACTGTTTTCAATTTATTTAAGAATGTTATTGAACTATTGGTTATACGTTAATGAATGTCCAAGTGACCAATAACAAAGTTTAAACAAAAAAGAATTATATCAACTGATGAGAATAAGTAACTTATATATAAATATATACCGTTTAATACTATACAGTACTAAATGGTTCTCTTGAAAACCAATGTAAAATTACCCTGGCCCACAAGGGTATATTATATAACTGTGAGGGGTACCTAGCCTGTCGTATGCCCTGATGATGTTCTCATAACTTTCGAGTTGCCTGATCTGCCAAGGGTGATAGGAAAGTGCATGATGCTATTGTTGTGTGCTAGGTTTCAAGAGAATTGTATGCTATATGCCTGCAAATCCGCCCCGTTATTGTTCTTGCCCCCAAATGCCCTGGTATGGCCGAGAGTGGGGTGGGTCCGCCCTCCCTCTCAAAATGCTCTCACATGGCCACGCGTCTACAGCCTCTGCCAGGAAAGTCCTTCTCACACCACGGGTGTTGTTTACGAAAATGAGAGGACGAAAAGCAAATGTTCGGCGCTTTAACCGGATTCCAAACCAATGGTGCACATGGGCTCCAGTATCCTGTGGGAACAATTGGCGTATGAACCAATTTCTTGGTCACCGACTGCATCTCCTCACGATGCTCCACTGCCTTGTGGGTTAGACTTTTAGGTCAAAGGCTCGGTGTGTGGCCCCCTAAGAAAACCACCTGCTTCGGTCTGGGGACCCGGGCAGTATCACAGTCCACACACATTTAGGATGAACTGTCGAAAATTATGGAAAATACTTTTCTTGCTTTAATTAACAATCAAACGATGCAGATTATTTTTATTATTACTATTATTGTTACTATTATTATTATTATTTACTACGTCATTTATTCACTCTCTTTTATTCTCACTCTGTCTATTCTTATTTTTCGACTTCTTGGTGGAAATTCGGCTCCATCTAAACGTTCCCGAGTAGAGACGTTATCAGATATGGCTCAGAATAGAAGGCAGTGGCGATCCTGTTGTAACCTTCTTTTACTTTCTTCATAAAAAGTGGTTGCTTCTTCCTTAACTGAAAGATCTCTTCTGATTGTACGTTTCTGTTTCCTCCATTATTATTATTATTATTATCGCACTATCTTACACTAATCTGTTCGTTATCGTTCTTTTTTTACGCACCTTACCTTTTTTTCCTTCTCTTCAAATTCGCATTGTTTTGTGGGGCGCATATATATTTGGTGCCCTCTTGTACCAATATTTATGTGTTCAAATAAATAAATAAATAGTACTAAACCTCTGTTTCATACTCATGTACGACTTTTCGAGTTTGTGCACTACCTATA